TCCACACAATTTCAATAATGGGTGTATAACTCTATGCTTCAGATATAAAAACGAATCTTAATCAAACATAGCAAACATGAACACAAGATATGGCATATAACATATCAGCATCTGGTATGAAAATGTTGGGAGTTTTTTGGGGTGCAGCGCTCAATAAAACTAGACATGGTACTGTCACAGCTGCCACTTTATTTGCATCATGCTTTTAATATTAAAATGATACCCCATTGTATATTCAAACAACATCACATTCAAATGAAGGCTGCTCGTCTTGAACTGCATTTAAAGGTCTGTTTTTGTTTTCTTATATAACTCTGTTTTTGGGCCATTGACAAGACTGTATTTCAGTTTATCTGAAGATTATTGCAAACTGTTGACTGTTAAAGTATGAGGATGACTTACACTTTGGCTCGAGTAGTCTATGTGCAAAATCAATTAAATGTGACATCATATTAGAGATAAAAACAACAGGGGAATTGCTATTGTGGAAATGTAAAGAAAGTAATTTGTGTATTTTACATTTGAGTTGGATACATTTGCTAAAGTGTGTTGATGCGCACCCAGTGTGTGGTTTAAATGCAGGAGATGTATGAATATGCACATCACCAAGGTCTGATCAGATGTATGTTTATCATTGAACTCAAGTTTTTCAGATCAACAAATATGTTCCTGAACAATTTAAATAAAGAGTGTGCTATATTTAACACTTCATTCAAGGTGAAGCCTTTATAGATATTATCTTGAAGTACCTGTAGCCTTTTTATCTGTGATTTGCTCACTTCTAGATTGATTCTACAGATAAATAAATAACAAAACCCAGATATGAACGGATACCACGGCAGTGACAAGTTATGTCTTACATCAATTAATTTGTTGTTTTCAATTGGCTCACAGTGAAGTTTTGCATTTGTAGTCCATAGCCTGGGTGGAGACTGAGGAAAGGCTTCCTGGATGGGAAAAGGTATAGGTGAAATCCGAATGCCTTATAAAAGGCAACACTCTCGAAAAACATCTCTTAAAAAGCTCTCAGCAAGGATACACAAGTTTATGACCGACCCGACCTTGAAGGAAAAGACAAACATTTTTATAATTGTTAAAAAAACAGCGAGGCTTTCAAAAGATATCTCCAGCTGTCTTCTTGTCCTCAAGAGGAAGTCATCTCTTTTCCAACATGAAGTATCTGGTCCTGGGGCTGTTCTCGCTGTCTCTGCTGGGATTCATCCAGGTAAACATACTCTTTACTGGCTGTATAATATAGATATAGGGTAGAAATGAACCATAGCCTGAACAAAAATATATTTAACAGAGGAAACATTGAGTTGAAAGATGAAATAGGACAATTTCTACAAAAAGTTAATAAATAAAACAAATTCATCAAAGTGAAATGTCAAAAATCTTTCAATATTCTCCACCTGTATTCCTCATTTAAATTGAATTGGAAACAACAATTAATAATAGGCAGGATTATGCTACATTCTATTTAATCTTATGTCTTAAACCTCTGTCTCCTCCTTTACCCTTCACACAGAGATCAAATGGCAAGTCTCTCACAAGGGCAAACAAAAAACCCTTGAATTCAACCCAGCCATTCACAAACAGCACCACTGACAACACCACCAACAGCAACAACAACAACACCACCAACAGCAACAGCAACAGCAACAACTACAACAACCACAACGACAACAACAACAACATCAACAACAACAACAACAACAACAACAACAACAACAACAACACCAACACCAACACCAACACCAACAACAACACCAACAACAACAACAACAACATACCGACTAAACCCATGACCATGGTTGCCAAGACTACAAAGAACGGACAGAACCACATCTTCGCGTCTGTCAGTCTGATATTCGCATCATTTCTTCTTCACACTCTTTGGCAATGAGCTCCTTCGTGAGTCTCAATAGTGCTGTTGAAAAATCATTGCAAATCTGATTATTTTAGAATATTTGCTATAGAGAAAATATGATTTCAGTTGTGTGTGTTCAACAAGGTGGTGGAATATGAGATTAGGAAATGATTAGCGAGTCTAGTGACATAGCCAGCTTATTAATTAACTGACAAATACACTTTCCACAGACTGTGGTTTAGATTGTGCACTGATATGTATTACTAACAAGTAACATGTAATGTAGTATGTGATAGAAATGACAGATAGTTATGAATGTTTATTTGTTAAGATGATTGCAGCTTGATCTGCATTCGAGGGTGGTGTATCCTTAATCACATTCACACTTTATTATATACAGTGGCATATTCAAATATCTTAATCCAACATTGTTTGGTAAATTGCCCTGAAGTTCATGATAGAAGCAACGCAGGTTGAATCAACATCGCAGGTGCAGTGACAAAGATGGATCAGCAAGTCATTCATTCATTCACTCAAGTGTGATTCATGTGTTTGTGCTACTGTTCTACTCCTAGTGGAGGCTCCAGATGGTTTGATGAACTATATGTTATCATATGAAATGCATGTCTGCTGCAAAAATGTAAAAGAAGTATGATTTATATACTGTAGATAGTTAGAAAACATAAATAAAAGAGAATAACTTATAAAAACAACTCACTTGGACACTGTCTCCCTCTGCAGGCTCAACAAAAGTTTTTGTCCAACATGGAAAGGTGTGGCTTTCGCAAATACTCTCACACGTTGTAAAGACATGGAGAGATGAGACCAGGAAAAGTCTGTAAAGAAATACTTCAGCAGTAAAGAAAAAGGTGGGCTGGTAATGAGCTTTAGAAAAGTAACCATGGGATTTTCTGGAACATCAGTAAAGCATTTCAGGGAAAAGTACTTCAGCTGCATTGAACTTAAAACAATGTGTAGCCAAAGTATTAAATAGGCATTCAAATACAATGAAAGCTGAAACAAAAACATGATTAAATATTACACATGTGCAGTAAGAGAAAATAATCAATACATTATCAAAATGATGTTTTAAGTAACTGTAAAGCCGAAATGAACGATTACGTTAATTAAATGTATTATGTCAACACATTCCATATCACTGTATTAGGTTAGTTGAAAGCAATACTGTTAAGTTAAAAATAAGACATATAGAGTGCCACAGTGACGCGTCCTAAAACCCGGAAGTAAGTTAGCATTTTACCACTTCCGGTTCCTTCGACAAAAACCAATGCAATTTCTCCATGATTTTGGAAAATAGCTCGAAATAAGGTCTGTGGTAGACACACATTGAAGAGACAGATCACGTTTTGTTCAGCCGGATAATATCCACATGTCTACCTTACTTTTATAATTTTCGAATCATAAATCTAATCGATAGATTTATGATCGATAGATTTATGATTAGAAATTATAAAGTTTTAGGACGCGTCACTGTGGCACTCTATTAGGTTCAACTTAATATTATTGCTTTCAACTAACCTAATACATTTAATTAGAGTCAACGTTTCAGTTCTTTCAGTGTAGATGCAGCTGTGCTTTCGCCCTGTAAGGGTTGTAACATGTACCTGAAGGTAACATTATGGATACAGTAAGTTGATTGGTCCTTTAAATTATGTGTGACTAGGGTTTTTTCGGCAGAGATATTCTCCCCTGCGTGAATATTTCATTGCTGATTTCACCATATTCTCAATTTTTGAATTGAGCTAGACTATAAGGGAGCCATACCAGTATGCCATGCCAACACTAATGATGCTTTCCATCACAGCATTATAGGACATTATCATTATAAAATGATCTAAAATCATACACCAATATTCTTTGGAGCAAGTCTCTGAGCACACAGAAAATGTAAGTGGGCAATCATTTTGAGTTTATAGTCCATTTGTATGGGGGCACGTTTGCCAATTTCACTGTTGAGAATGATTATATATTAACTTTAACCTGTTGGGACCAGTTTGTTAAGACGAAATAGAAAAGGTTTAGAACACGAGGATTTACATACAAGTCATTCACTTCTTTACAAGAAGTGTTTTGTGATGTGGTTGGTTAATTAAAAGCAGAGCATTAAGAGCAGCATGTTGGTCATTGCTGAAATAATGTCATCCAAGGTTTTTTTATTCAAATTTGGACCAGTGGACACTGACAGCCCCCAAATGTAATAATTAACATGTATTAATCTGAATTTGAAACATAATTGAAAAACAGATTAAGTCAAAGTGAGTAATGGGTTCTGAAGAACTTATCATGATGACAAACAAAAAAGACAACATGTATTGGTCCATCTCATGTCGAATGTATAGAGAATATTGGTGCTGTGTTTGGCCAGGTGCAGACATGAATGCTATCGAATGCTGATTAAAGTCTTTCAGTAGCAGAATTTGGACACAAACCTGAAAGAATAAAATGTGACAATGCTCTTTATCCTGCAACTTAAGCTATCACACATGAGGAAATAATATTGTAACCTGTTTGTTAAGCAATTAGTCAATCATACACCAGGAGGAGGAAGGAAAATTCATATTTGTTTTTTCTGATTATCTACCTGTTTAATTGATTATGACACACATAGGGAAGTATATAAACTTTTTAGACACTTGTCTGTAGTTAAAAATTAAACCAGATGTTTAGTCACATTGAGGAAGTCGGTAGAATATTCCTTCCCAGTACAAAAATAGCATATCTAATATAAAATGTCTTCTTAAGTTTCTCGGGTGCTAATAAATGCACAGTAAGTATAAAGTGCGTTCCTGGAAGTCATTGAGGGGTTTGCTTAAAGGGATGTGCAACCAATAATCCATCCACACACACCCACACCCACCCCCACCCCCACACCCCCACCCCCACACACACACACACACACACACACACACACACACACACACACACACACACACACACCACACACACACACACACACACACACACACACACCACACACACACACCACACACACACACACACACACACACACACACACACACACACACACACACACACACACACACACACACACACACACACACACACACCTCCCCAGCCAACTTCTTGTTGTACGTCATCATAAATTCACACCTGCCCCTCCTGAAGCGTGATGCTATTGTATAAAGGATAATCTCAGTAGAAGTAGACCAGGTTACAGTGGGGAACTTCACTGCACTATAAACCATCAGCCTGCCGTCCTTGCATCAGGACGTTTACAGCAACATTTTTGGTACATCTTTGCCCCTTCTCCACTCTCCACCATGAAGTTATTTTGCATTCTGGCTGTGCTGACATTGGTAAAGGTAACACACTTTTTTTTGTTTCTCAAGAAAGTATGTCAAAGTATGTATATTGTTTTTGCAAATGCATTATGAATACAAATATTTAACCAACAAATAATACATACATAATCAATATATCATCTAATAGATCTTGAACAGCCATCAAATGATTTTTGTAATGTGTTTTTAGCTGTTATAGTCATGAGAAAATAGTTATTGTGAGGAACATTTTTAATCAGAAGGAGTTCCAGAAAAAATGCAACTCTTTAAGTTGTATTCTTTTTGTTTATGTTTTGAGTGGTGTTGGAATAAATTACAAGTGAGCAAAACAAATATCTCTGCAACATGAAAAGAGAGCTAATGTCTTAGCATCTAACTTTAATAACAGGACAAAAAACAAGTTTAGAAAAAGTATAAAAGCAAGTAGTCTCTAATGGAATGACCTGGATAAATCACGCTCATTGATGTATTGAAACTATGGAAAGTCGTATTGCTGTACACAATCAACTGATTTTATTATTTTCTCCATTTATTTCAAATCAGGGACAAAGTGTGGCCATGCCTGAGTCAACAACTACAACGAACCCCTCAACAACTACAACTGTTGGCCAGTCTACAACTACAACCGTTCCCCTAAATTCTACGACTACTGGTCGGACCACAACCACCCCTACACCAACAACTACAACCAGCTCCACAACTGTTTATACAGCTGTTGCCCAGTCTACGACTACAACTGTTCCCCCAAGTTCTACGACTACTGGTCGGACCACCCCTACGCCAACAACTACAACCAACTCCCCAACCACTTCTACAGCTGTTGCCCAGTCTACGACTACAACTGTTCCCCCAAGTTCTACGACTACTGGTCGGACCACAACCACCCCTACACCAACAACTACAACCAGCTCCACAACTGTTTCTACAGCTGTTGCCCAGTCTACGACTACAACTGTTCCCCCAAGTTCTACGACTAGTGGTGGGACCACCCCTACGCCAACAACTACAACCAACTCCCCAACCACTTCTACAACTGTTGCCCAGTCTACAACTACAACTGTTCCCACAAGTTCTATGATTACTGGTCGGACCACGACCACCCCTACGCCCACAACTACAACCAACTCCTCAACTGTTTCTACAACTGTTGCCCAGTCTACGACTACAACTGTTCGCCCAAGTTCTACGACTAGTGGTGGGACCACCCCTACACCAATGGATACAACCAACACCTCAACCACTTCTACTGTTACTGTTACCCCAACCATTTCTGTGACTGCTACAATCAACCCTACCACCATAAGACCAAGCTCCTCTCCAAACACCACAACAAAGACTTCGACGACCCAAACTACCACCAGTGGAGGCTCAGGAGTCGAAGGCTCTGTGCTGTTTTCTGTTGTGCCATTGTTGCTCTACACGCTCTGCCCCTGAGCAGCAAATCTCACCTAAGGGATGAAAAGAGGAAGAGAGTTCCTCGAGGTGTTAATGTTTCTAATAGTGTGAATAGGTAAATTGGAATTAATGCAGATCCATGTAGGGACTGAATGACCAAGTTAAATCTATTCACAGCACAGCATAACATTTTCAGATTGTTCTTTTTTTGGTATTCCGTTACCATGTTTATTAATTAACTTAAGGTATTTGTGATCAGCAGGTTAACATTTAACATGTCATATAATGGATCTAAAGTATATCTGGCATCAGGAATAACTTTAAACTGAGAAAATGATGGGATGACAGATGTTACTTGTAAATGTGTGTTTGGTGTATGATAACATGTTTGGTCTGATGGCTGCATGACAATCATATTAGACAGAGTAAGTACATTCCTTATAGGGTCTGTATACGCACATTTATACATATACTGTACCAAACATTGATTCTAAATGTATAACATTAACGAGAATGAGACAAAATGGGTGCCATTTTAACTTTTTGAACAATCTTTTATGTAGTTAAAACATCGGGATGAGAAGAGGTATTGTGGCAGATATACAGTACAAAGAAATAAAAGCAAATAACCAAACGTAAAAATAATACATTAATTTGCATTTATACACCATTTAAAAAGCATAAGCAAATCATGCAATTAAATGAGATTCAACTAAATTGTAAAGATGCAATAAAGTATCAAGTTTATTTTTACATTGCCATGTACTGATTCAGGGGGGGGGGGGGGTAACTACAGTATGCAAATGAAATTAAAAAAAATGCTGTAGTTTATGTTTAATCTTCAGATCGACAGATGGCCAGCAGAGCCTGTAGATGATCTCCTTTGAACTGTTTCTGTAGGAGAAAGACGTTCACATGTATGAAATTAATATTCCTTTCATTTAATAATACAAACATAAACTACTTTTCAAAATGTCACTGTTCTGATTTAAATGCATAATTTGAAAAAACATTATCATGTCAAGTATTCAGGTCTTGTGTTATGTGTAATACAGTGTAATGAGTGGGACCCACCTGTAGAGCGGTGTAGAGGGACGTGCCTGTTAATTTGAGGTAGGCTGTTCTGATACACAGCAGATCCTCCTCAGAGTGAGACACCATTATCCCCTGCAATATGGGTGTCTGCAAAATGGAAATGTTTTCTGTGTGAACCTTTTTGCGTTTCAAAATCGTAGATGTGAGATGATCTTTTTAAATGTATAAAAGTGAATAATAGGTCTGCTTTCAATGGGAGTGATCGTTTAACTTGACCTTTGTATTATTGTCTAGGCAGGGCAAAAATAACTTTTATCTGTACAGCGCAATCCATACAGGAAGTACTTTTCAGAAATTAAAACTCAAAAACCAGTTGAGAACAAACAAACCACTATAATATATTGCATACAAGACAACATCACCATTCTAATTAATTTGTTTTTATGAGTATATAAATGTCTGTATAAGTAAAAAGGATATCATAAACACGATTAATATTATATACAGAAATGAATAATATAGGCAATGATCAGTCACTCACAAAAGAGACAATTCATGAGGGCATTTTACCTTGGTGGCAGTTAGTCTCTTAGCGAGGTAGCCCTCAGGGCTTTGAATGCACTCCACTGTAATAACACAGATTAAAAAAATGTGAGCAATCAAGATGGACAGCTAGTCAGCACTTAATACCCAGAAAGTATCTTAAACTATATTTACCTAAAACTTTCAAACCCAGTCGGATGTCTCCCGAAAACTTTTTCTCCAGAGTCTGATCCACCATCTGCCCGATGTCCAGCTCCAGTCCCATCAGCACTGTGAGATACAGATAAACCACATACAAGGTCAGGGGAATGGACTCTAATGTACAGAAACAAATGTACAAGAAAGACGCATAGGTTAGATAAATATGTTACAGCCTCACCTTTGTTCAGATGGTCCGAGTCTCGAGAGGTCAGTATGTCAATCCACGGTCCTGCCTCAGCTTTTTTCACATTCAGTGTGGCAGAGAGAGCCTGGAAGAATAAAACACAATCAGAAATTGGGTGACATAAGAGACTTGTGATGTAATATGTTTCAACTACTACTATACATGCAAGGGCCACATGTACTATGCCAGTTTAGGAACCACATTTTCACAGGAAGCAAACAGCAGGTGTGATACTGAGTCAGAGTACTAGGAAGTGTATTCTTTAACACAGTAGTTTATTGGTATTTAATTGAGTCCTGACCAAAATGAGTGATGGTCTGGATAACTTATTTTAGATGACTGAGATTTTCCTTTGAAAGAACACACCTTATCCCCAGGGTTAGTAAGGGTATAGTACATATTGCTACTAGCCTTACTATCATATCATATTAAACCTAGACTACAATATTTGTGTGTAAAAATATCATGGGGAATATTACCTCAATATCTCTTCGAACCCCACCAGGAACCTCGTCTTTCTGTTGGGAGAGAAGTCAGAACACATTTTTAACTGCTTTATAAGGGTAATCTTAATTAAATGATTACCTGTCACAGATATCACAGACATATTTTCTCTGTAACGGTGCACCACTAATATTTCATACCCAAGATACATAGTTTCAATTATATAAAAGGTGGGCGATTAACGCCCACTACAATATTATCCAAGGGTCAGCTGGGATTGTTTGAATGTAGGTTGTACGGTTGTATGAGATATTTATCCATTGTCTGCGACTCTGCGTATAACCTACAGTAGAAGATGGTTGACACACCCCTAGATTGGAGAAACACACTGGAAATAAAGCACGGAAGCAAAGCAATATTGTAGTGATTTCAACGGGAGCAGAAGTAAAAATATCATTTATTATTATCTGTGCTTTCGCTAAATCACCAGAACCCATAAATTAGAAAAAAGGAGGCATTAAACCTTCACAGTCAAATAGTGCAATCTACCCCGATTGTTTGGAGGCTATAGCATGGACTAATAGAACGGCTTCTGGTCCCTGTCTGACGGCAGGGTACAACTGTTCAAATATTTTAAATAAAGTGTAAACTTAACCTCATATGGATTTTTTGGATGGGCCTTTTTTTAGGTGTCTAAAATATGTTTTGCTGCAGGTCCCCTTTCACAGCAGTACATTGCTTAGCTTCCTTGCAAAAACTCCTATCTGTTTTTCCAACCTAGGGGTGTGCAGACGGCCATCTACTGTAGGTAACTGATAGAAACAACCTCAGTTCAAACAATCCCAATAAAGGTCTATTTACTTATTTATGAATTTAAAATTGATGGTAAAAGAAAACAAATTAGGATTACATTCAACAAAGCCACGAGAAGCTTGTAAAAGTCTCCACTGGTTTCTCCTTTCAGTTCCTTATCCAGGTCCTTCTTATAAACTAAAAAGGGAGAAAAAACAAACAATGTCACAAATACCGGGCATCAAGACATTATAGGATTAGGGATAAGGGTTTAAATGTACATGATAATCAACCAAACAATTTTAAGGGAAAGACTTTACAAGATTTGTGACTTACTTTCTTTGTATGCAGCACTGATTTCTTGGAGCTCCATCCCAGAATGTGTACACAGGATCTCCAGTAGTGTTTCCTCATCTGTTCCTATACCCTGCACACACACCACATGATATTCTCAGACCCTGGGATATGACAGGCAGGAAAAATATGTAAACACACACAGAAAAAAGCCACTCACCACCATGGCCTGTTGCAGGCGATAGGCCTCGTACTGCAGAGGAGGCATCAGCAGCTCCAACAGGAGGACCTCCAGCTCTCCAGACAGAGCCTTCTTCAGAGCCGCTGCCAGGTCCTGGAACAGAGTCACAGTAAACACTCATGTTTTCTCATTTCTTAGACATTGACTTCATTTTTCCCTAATGAATATCAATCTATCAGAACAGACGAAAATAACTTTAATAAAAAAGGTTTTGTAGGTCTTACTATGCTTTGGTAAGACTTTTAGGGGAATGTCCTTCATTTGAGATCTTACTTAAAGGTGGGGTAGGTAATTTTGGAGAAACCAGCTTGAGTGCGCTAGAATTTGAAAATACACAGCCGGAAAAAATCTGCCACTTCCTTACAGAGCCCCTCCTCCAACACACACAAACGCGCACATGACCAATGAGGGCACGAGATAAGTTTGTGCACAGATGGAAGGCTGACAGGCAGGTAGGCCATCCAGTTATTTTAGCCGGGCCGGCTAAAATGATTGGTCGTGCTTTTTACAGTACTACGGCTTCCACAGATGATATTTTTTAATGTATTTATTGTCAAAGCACTTAAGATATTCATTGCTATCGGGATGTTAAGAGCATTCCATGGAATATAACAAAAAGTGTATCTCGAGCCGGTTTCTCAAACTTACCTACCCCACCTTTAAGTTAAAGTACATCACGTACTTAAAGTACCAAAGTACTCAAAACGCAGAATGATTGCCGAACTAGAAAATTGTATATTACATTTCTGGGCAATGCTTAATTAATGTATGAGTTTTTAATAATGGTTAAGTTGGAGCAAATGTTTTTATTTCTCATAAACTGCCGGGTAGCTTGATGCATTACAATACATCATAATTATTTGTTGATTTACATTTTGTATTAATAAAGTGAATCCGTAGAGATTTTAACATTTCATTATTGGAAACAAATGAAGTGGCATTAAAAGTATAATATTGGCTGCCAAACTTAAGAGGAGAACATTAAAGTAGAATAATACTAAATAAATATAAGTCAGGTACAAGTACGGTAACATTTGTAACGATGTTGTTTGTAGATAAACGTTGACACTGCAGCATCATATTCATCCTCTACCACACTCTGACTTCACCTCATACTACTCCTTCTGTAAACAAGCGTGAGTTCCAATCCTTTAAAACCAGTTTAAATCATGTTTGTACAGCAAACACTTGGAAGTGACAGATGGGCAAACACACATTTGCAACATACAGTATTGTCATTGCAACTCCCCATTCTCTTGTACTGCATAGCATACATTTTTAAGAAATATTTCACAAGGGGGGCTGCTGTAGCATCAAGCATTTAAACTATTCTTTTGAATGTAACATTTACATTTCCTAAACAGGTTTTTTGTAGCCTTTTTTGTCTTGTTATATTTCTTATTCTATGTGTTGTCAGGTTCTTTGTTTCCTTACCTTGTGTGTCATTTCCTCAAAGGCCTTGGCGATCTCTTGTCTCTGAGTGTTGGTCCGATTGGTCAAGATTCTCACCAGAGTCCCTGCATCTGAGAAAAGAACAACATGTATTCAATATGTAATGATGGAGAGAGGCATGGTATGAGGCAAAACAAAACATTGAATTGTATGCAGCTTTATTCAACACTGATGGTCAACCAATTCAAAGGAATGGTTCTAACCATTTGAAGTACCTTTCATTTCCAACGCTTTCTGGATCTCCATGGCATCCAGGTCAGAGTGGAAATTGGCGAAGGGTCGCACCGTTCCCAGGGTGCCCCAGCACATCTCCTGTATGGTAGGAATAGTAGAAAGTGAAACTGTTATTTAGGGAATAATTGCAATGATCAATGAAAAGAAGGATTGAGCATAAATCCTGACACTGGATATTGATTCTGTCTGGTTTATTATTGTTAAAATATCAACATATAATAGGAGTTTGTCAGGAAGCTAGTGGAATGTGTGAAAGGAAGCTATAGGTGTTGGCCGAAGATGAGCGAAGATACGTTTTGTATCTTTGCTCATCTTCTGCCAAGAAGAATGCCAAATATTCTATAGTGCTGCTCTGAGTATTGCAGGTATGTGAGGGTGGATGGAAACACAATAGTAGATTGGGTAAGAGTTGAACTTATTAATTCATTCAGAATAACTTGATGAACATGATGAACTCATTGCAGCATTCCAATAAACATGTCATGTACATAGTGACTTTTGTAGTTATCGTTAAAAGGTATGCAGATAATCAGAGAACACGAGACAGCAGATTGCATTATCTGGAAATGTGGCGTCTTGGCAAACAGAGTCTTAATGCAAAGGCAGAAAAGAAGACAAGGAAGAACATCTTACATAAGATTGGAAATACTCAGGGTCCATGGCTTTGTTTTAACTGCAAGAAAGAATGTGAGTAAGTTACAAATGGTCCATCCAGAACAAATACAGAAATATGCAATCAATGACACGCCCAGGCACATGGACACAGTATAGAAAGTATCCAATGTGATAATGTGAATAAAAGGAAATGTAAAATTGAAGTAACCATACTATGAATTGTTGTATTCACTGAATCCCTTGATGACAATGTATTCATGACTCATACTTATCCAAACAAAACTAAACAAATAACTCATTTTGCCATTGTAGATGAACACAAACAGCTTACAGAATTATACAAGAACAACATTAAATATGTGTCCTTACCTGTAACAGGATATAGTGGCAGCTGTAGGAAGGTAAGAATGGAGTGGAGTTTTTGTTTTACAACCTCCTGTAATCAGTTCTGTATCACCGTCACACCCTCACTGTGCCACACCTGCTGCAGTAACCCACCTGACTGTAGATCAGACAGCTGACCAATCGCTGCTCAGTTTCTTCACAGCTGTGTCAACACTATTGGTCTCTAGAAATACTGAGACAGCCCACCTGTAATAAACTGACATTCCTTTCAGAGGAGGAATGAAGACAGGCAAGTTTGTTTATAGGTTGCCTTTGTTGTGAAATGACCATTGACTGTTGATCTTGTGGCAGATTCTGAAAAACATCATTATTATTGTTATTTTAGGGTATATAATTAACACTTTTATTGAAGAAAGTTTGGTTTTCAGGTTTTTAAAGTAGGCCTACAGGACTGCTTTGACATTTTTCAGCTGAAATACAAACCCACCAGACGACATGCCTGACAGGGAGTGAGGGGCGTACTCAGGGTGAAACAGAACTCCCTAAGAATGGTGTGCTCATCAATAACCTGTCTTTAAAATAATGTATCTTGTTTCCAAAACCTGAAAACTGAATTGTGTCTCGATAGAAAACAAAGGGCTATTTAGTACCAGTAGTACTGACAACAATCTAAAACTCCAAAAGGATTATTTGCCCTTTTCCTTTAGTCATGACAGAGGGTCAAGAGTGTAAGAGGCAAAGACACGCATATCATGTTCACTCTCAAACTCAGCAGACACAAATTATAGGCCAGATAAGTTACAGAAACATCGAGTAGAAAAACATTAAGGTAATGTTTAACAGAAAAAACAGTGACCGCCTTAGCAAGATAAAACCATTGAACAAGTGTTTTCCTCTTATCATTTTAATCTCTCCAATCCTCTGTGCTGCTTCACTTCTACCTGCCGAAACATGACACCTGTGTGAATTACAAACTGCTGATCAACAGATACCTCCTTCGCCTTTCGGTAACATGAAGTATGATTTCAAAATAAACACATTGCGGAGAATGGAGGTTTTCAAGTTCATGTGTAAACAATGAATGAACTTTAAGTGTCAATGAGTTTTGCAATTTTTGTGTTGACAACTGAAAAGTTGAACAGGAGAGGAATAATTTTCCTTCTTTTTTTTCCACCATTGCTCTACAACTGTATTGAAACCTCTTTTACTACTGATTGTACAAGTCAGATGTTAATGAGTTAGACAGGTCTAAACTGCTTGAAGAGGTGGTTTATTTTTTCTAATGTATTTACCTGTGGTTATCAGCAGGAAACCGATGGACTGTCCACTCCGAGTATAGGAATGAGTCCTTAACCCAAGTGAAGGAGTTCAAGTATCTTCGGGTCTTGTTCTCGTGAGAGGGAACAATGGAGCGTGAGATGGGCTGGAGAATCTGAGTGGTATTGCAGTCACTCTACCGCACCGTTGGGACGAAGAAAGAGCTAAGCAGAGAAGGCAAAGCTCTCAGTCTACCAGTCCATCTCTGTCCTACCCTCACCTATGGTCATGAAGGATGGGTCATGACCAAAAGAATAATCCTGGATACAAGTGGCCAAAATGGGTTTACTCCGGAGGTAGGCTGGCATCTCCCTTAGGTATAAGGTGAGAAGTTTAGTCATCTGGGAGGGACTTGGAGTAGAACCGTTGCTCCTTGGCGTTAACAGGAGCCAGCTGAGGAGGTTCAGGGAGATGTTCCAGGCATGTCCATCCGGGAAGAGACAGAGGGGCAGACCCAGGACCAGGTGGAGGGATTTTTATCTCTACCCTGGCCTGGGAGCGCCTTGGGATCCCCCAGTCAGAGCTGGTTGATGTGGCCGGGGAAAGGGACGTTTGGGGCTCTCTGCTGGAACTGCTACCTCCGCGACCCGACTCGGACAAGTGGTAGAAGATGGATGGATGGATGGATGGACAAGAGGGCACTTTTAAAAATGAACTCAAATTAGCTGTATTATTGCTGAATTACTGTCAGGGGATGTGTACGTTTAACAATAAAACATCTGTTCACTGTTAAGTGTCAATTGACAGGTGATAACAGTTTAATCTTCATTTAGAGTGTTAATGAAACCATTGAACTGTGTGCTACGCATCAACAGGAATCAGAAGAAAACCAAATGTCATCAACCAGGTCGTTTATAGCTTGTTAGACATACAGTATGCAAGGTAAAAAAAAAAGAAAAAAAGGAAAAATTGAACATTGATATGATCCCTTTGTTTATAATCCCTTTGTTTAGGAGGATGTTGTTGAAATTAATTAAATTAATTAAAATGTACAGATAAATCAGCAAAAGGAGCTTTTTTCAAAAAAGGTGTATTTATAGCAAGATAATAGTAAGTGGAGATCATGTTATGAAAGTTAATGAAGATTAAAAAGAAGAAAAGGAAACACTTAATTAAAAAAAAGAATAATAATTTAGTAGGTTTTCTGAATGTGAATAAAGTGTGTATTTAAAGAATACTATTGATAATTGTTATACACAAAACAGCTTTGTTCCAATAAACAAGGTTTAATTTTATTTAATATTTCAAAACCACTCCCTCTTACATAAAATCTGACATCACAACTTTAGCATCAAATATTAACCATAGACTGTATATTAACATACAGCTGATGCAGACACAAAGTAAAATATATGTATAACAATTTAAACATTTAAAAGTACAACAAATACATGGTAACTTGACATCTCCTTGCCCTGCACAATTCAATGTGATATACTGCACCATGAGTGCAACATGTCCCACAAACAAACATCCATACATACATACATACATACATAAAATAAAACACCGTTAAAGAACCAAAGTATACATTTCCTGCACACTATGCATCTGTTTGGCTTCATTTTTCCACAATCTGTTTAAAGCACTGGTTGCCCCTTGTTTCTTTACAGCAGGAAAACAATGTCTTAAACTGGAAACTAGGTTTGCTTCATTGTAAAAAAGGATAACAAAGCATCAACCTTCCACAGTCAGAGAATCTACATGAGCAGTAATCATACATACAGGGAGATTCTAGGTTAAATACTTTAATTAAAGTGATATGATTTGATAAAAGTCAATGCAGTGTATGTACATCCTCCAAAAATATATTTTATTCCAGCTTTACAACTCGTGATGAACCTCTGCAGCAGGAGAAGGCACTTTCTCTTTTTTTTAAGTCCTTGCATACAGAAATCCTAATTTGCCTGGGAGAATTTGAATGACAGAAAAAAGACAAATAGAAAACTTTGCTTTACTCTCACAATGTTCATACAAGTGACATCATTCATGGAGTGGGAACACATAAAACAGTGGCAGTGGATCCCAGGCTGTGGTATCATGGGTTTGTAAAGAGATGCACTGCTGAGGAAAGTTTGAAAAGGGAGATGGGAGCTTTTTATAGCAGCTCTATCTCCCACTGTTGGCTTGGCCTCTCATCATCCTCCGGCATAATCACCACATGGTCCTTGTCATAAGATTTGCCACCTGAGGAAATAAAATATAATAACTTAATAAAATGTAGCACTAATTCCAAATTCAAGATATAATCTCATGCTATAATGAATATAGATAAGGTAACAATTTATTTTTTAGTAGCAGACAGTGATGGAATGTAACACATTCACATGAGTACTTTTTAACAGTTACTTTGTACAGAAAAGACAGTCTTCCTATGGATCTATCTATCTCATAATAATTAAGGGACTCATAAATGACCCTAATATCATTTTGCATTAATTTTTTGCATTATCAGGAAAAGTGTCATAAATTCATAAATGATTGTGCAATTAGCCAATGCCAATGTTTTTTTCTATCTCTTTTTTGTCATACCTTTGACATCCAGGACGAAGCCAGGGAAAGTCAGGTTGGTGATGAGGCCTCTCATCTTGGCGGTCCAGTTCTGGATGGGCTGCCGGGTCTCTGCCCACAGGACCACCTTGGCTCCCGGCTCCACGTTGCCCATCACCTGCAGGCTCATGACGGAGGACAACTGCAGCACACACACACGGTATAAGATTAGACCGGCTCAGGTAAGATGACAGGTTCAGGCTTTAGTTTGCAACTTGGATCAAACCTTATGAAATGTCACACATGTCCTGTATTGCTTACCTTGCTCTTGATGAAGCCGTCCTGATAGAACCAGACGTCGCTCATGGGCTCACACTCTGGTGTCACCACCACTCGCCCTGATTTCAGCTCCTCCACGCCGCCCTGGACCGACAGGAAGTGACCCCTCTCTTTGTTCTTGATGCGGAGAAAGTGGCGCTTCTGTAGGAGGCAAAATATCACAAAATATGTAATTAGAGTTAGAGATCAATGGAGGTTTGTCTGTTTTGACCCCACACAAATAAAATCACATTCATTAATACCAAAGGAATAACATAAGATTTTGGTCATATTTAGTTTGAATAGTTTACAGTTTGAGCAGATAATCACATTGAATTCCAGTTCTTCCTCTTTTGTTTTGTTTCATATATTGTTCTTTCTTTTACTTCTGGTACGGGCTTTGTGTTTGGTTAAACAGCCAACAATGTTATCTTAGGCATGTTCTGGTATTCATAGCAGTTAATGCTTATTCATTTGTTCTTTTTACAAAAGTTAGAAAACCCCTAACGTTTAAATAAATGTTCTTTAACTTGTGTCAATACTAAAATATAACATCAGTCACAAGAGACTGTACTCTTCAACCATTTAGTTTACTAATGTGGATTTACACATTTTATACAAATATTTACCAATATTGAGGGTTAACAAACCTGTCTGATTGGGAACATTGAGCCAATAGTCTCTAGCGAGCTAAACTTCAGCCAGTTGGTGATCTCAATTGGTTCCAGTAGGAATTGGCGCCCCCTGTAGTTACTGTATTGACATATCACCCAACTGCAAAGGAAGAGAGACAACATTAGAGAAGACTTTGCACTCAAAATGTTATTCAAAAAATCAAAATAAACATTCTGAGTAAGGCTCATATACAGCTCTGGAAAAAAATAAGAGACCACTGAAACAATTCTCATTTTCTCTGGTTTTTACTATTTATAGGTATGTGTTCAAATTATATATATTTTGTATTATTCTATAAAATACTGACAATATTTCTCTGTGACGGTATTCAACCGACACTGGAATGGAATGGCTGCCATACATGTAGAGATTGAGATTTAAGAAACATTTTGGAGTGGTCTCATAAATCGTTTCAAGAGCTGTATGTTAATGATATATTATTAAATAATAAATGTTTAATGCTAAAATGTATTTAACACTTTAATGTTGCAGCTGGTAGAATTTTTACTAGATTATGAATTTCATCAACAAAGTGTATCCAAACTTATAATAATGTATGATTACATGAAAGTTATTTGTTGATTTATTTGTATTTAATCAATTGTTCTGAAGTGTATAGTAGCAAGAAGTATGTATAGTCTAGTACGTGATTAATTGTACTCAGTTTTCCAGCACTGCTAAACATTGTGTGAGACGCGTACCAGCCGCTGTTGACTCTGACAGACAGGATGTGGTTGTTGAAGCCCTCTTCCATCATGCTGTGGATCTCTGAGTCCATGGTGATCTCTCTGCCCTCCAGACACTCCAGGCCAAACAAAGAGATGGAGGGGACGGAGAATGTCTAGAGAGGGAGAGATGGAGGTTCAGAGTGAGACAAAGGACAGAATACAGAGCATTTTTATTCAAATGAGGGCTCTCTCACCATCGGGACGACCTTGGCAGAGCGGATGTAGGAGACGGGAGGACATCCCATGCTGGTCAGATTGGGGTAGTCTCCTTCAGATAAGACGAACATGTTCCCAGAGTACTTTTTATCCTCGTAGAGCACCCAGCTGAAACACAGACAAATGCATCGTTATGTTTGACCCTCCTCTATCTCACCCTCACTACTGCAACTCCATGTTGTTCACCCATGGACTTGTCCCCTCTTGATCTTTTTTCCTGTGATTATTGTAGTGTTTTGGTAAAGGCTCCTCACCTTCCCCCGGACACTCTGCAGGACTTGGTCAGTACTTTTTCTGGGATTTCTTCCTGGTTGCGGTTAAAGATGTGACACTGGCCCTTGAAGTCTGCCTCAGAGTACAGTATCAGCTGTCAGGTAGAGATAGAAGTAAAGGAAAGAAATTAGATGAACACATTAATAACCTGAGGCGTTTTTTCTTCTAATTATGTTTGCCTTTTTGGCAAATATATAAAAGTAAACGTTTGGGTGTCTTTGGCTAAGGAAACCTTGGGCTCCGAAGCAAATCAGTTTCAAGCATCGTTACATGCCGACATGTATATAAAGGGACTTTCCCTTCATAAACATATGATCCAGCTTGTGGCCAACAAATGGGGTTACAAATGTGAACCATTCTAGCAAAAAAAATAAGCAAACTAAAGTAAAGAGATGCAGGCTATATTTGTTTTTTTTAGTCCCAATCTGTAGCCCTGTTGACATAAAAGATGTGTGTGCATCTGTTTAAAAACCCTACATATCATCATTTTCTTGTGTCCAAAAGTCAAGCTATGTTTTCTATAATCTAATTGGCAACTATCCTATCTAGGAGTAACATAGCACTGCAGAGACAATTGCCTACAATATCAGATAAAATAATGATATGCATAAAACAAGATGAAACTGAGAAAATCAAGTCAGGATACCTCATTGCTGGTCCTTGTGCTGTCCGTTGGAGCCTTAAAAATAACACAGAAAAGGCATCAGCAACATCAGAAATGGATATTTAATTGATATTTTGAAGACGTTGTGATGGCCCTCACCATCAGGATGGGCTGCACGGAGCAGATGCGGTTGTCCTGAGAGCCCCAGTCAGCACAGTTGTTATAGAAACCTTTCTCTAAGATGTACTGGTTACCAGAGAAGTCCACATGAGAATAGGCTATCCATCTGTAAGGAGGAAACAATCACCTCATTAAATGTGATACATTCCCACTTCACAGGAGGATTGTGTAATACATAGTAGAATCTTTCAACTTACGCCCCGCTGAATACTTGGATGGAGCGCGTGGAGGGTTTGTACTCCAACAGCTCAACGTCAGCAATGGCGTCCGTCACCTCGAAGGTGTTGTCCTCCGCCATTCCCTCCTGGTCTTCCTCTGGCTGCTCAAACATCACCATCATGGGATCTGTTAGGTCCTGCGCAAGAAATAGAAAATGGGTAAACTTTAATTAAGTCTCATGGGGATGAACAGCTATTTTGGCTGAAAATAACATTCTGTTTAAGTCACTTTTCAACTTGTATCAATGCTAGAATGTGCAGTGAAATTTAGGAAACAGCACTTACAAATTAAAACTATCCCTGCATGATTAACAAAATTACAAAAACTGCACAAATGAATTGATATACAAGGTCGAGCATCCTTATTGAAAAATATTTGAGTATTTTATGTGGCAGATCATACCTGCTGGGAACCATACTCTATTCAAAATGTATTTGTGTTTTGTAAACTGCACCATATTAACATGATCCTGAGCTAATACATCGGAATTTGAATCATAACGCTGATGTCCCGAGTTGCCTTTCATGCCATTCAACTTGTGGCGCAGGACTATAATGGCCATTTATCAGGGTTCAAAGCCACTTTTACATAAGATAAGACCCAATTGATGTACAAAAATGATAAGATCGACAAAAGGAAACAAAACCACAAAGAACAATATATAAACATAATACAAAGTGAATAATGCAGGAAGAGATTAAGCACAGTTTGACTACAGGTAAAACATATATAGTTACTCAAATAAAAGGCAAATGTGATGTAATGTGGATAATATAACCTATCATCGACTGCAGGTCTGACTTGACATTTACTGAAACTCAAGATCAGATCAAAGTGAATCCTTCCATTACAAAATAATGTCATCGTTGGTTAAATCAAGGTTACACAGTTCACCTTTTTTTGTAATTAGACAATTTCGTCTGCGGTTAGCCCCACCTTTTGAATTATTAACAAACAAATATTCCTCGTTACTTACTGCTCGTATCACCCTGACGGAGCGCATCTCGGCGTCGCTGCCCCCCCACACCCTCCAGTCGTGGTACTCCCCCTCCTCCAGCAGGTACTGGCGCCCTCGGTAGCCCTCCTTCTCGTAGCCCACCCAGCTGCAGAAACACACACATTATTTCAATCTTTTTCATAGTGGCTCCAAGCCCACCTGAATTGTGGGACTTCATTATTAATCATCACTAAGAAGTCTTTTCAAGGTTCAGTGGATACAAACAGAAAAGGCAGCACTCACATTCCTCCCTGGACTTTAAGAGAGCCCACGTTGTGCATAAAGGCCGTCTGCTGCCGGTCTTCTCTGGTCATGAAGTTCCTCATGTCGATGTTAATGGTCCTCGATTTCCCAGTGAAGTATGGCTTTTCAAATAACTCCATCTAGGAACCAAGGGTGTCGTTTACAATTTGAACAATGATAGTTTCTAAAGTGTCAGTGATCATACTGTGTCTGATATGCAGTACAGTATACAACAAGTGGTAGGAGAAGTACTCTAATCATATACTCATGTTAAAGTACATATTCTACAGTGTAGAAATACTGTTAAAAGTGATAGTCCTGAATTCAGTCACTCAAGTTAAAAGTATATATATTTTACCAAATAACCCATTTCATAATAATAAAACATTATTGGACTACAATCAAACATTTGATAGATAAATGCAATGTTGGAGATTGTAAAGGTGGTCCTAGTTTTTTATTTTTAATATACAGCCGATCAGTTTTATCTATAACAATAACATATCCTGTATTGTTTGTTGAAAAAAGGTGTAGAATAACTATGTAAACTAACCACGTAGTGGAATAAAAGGTACAATATTTGCATATGAGATGTAGTATACAGTAACATTACAGTAAACAATTCCAAGTACAATAAGCTTGACATTTTACTTAAATAAAAAGTAGGTCTACTTAGGCTGTGATATGCATTGGTGTAAAGTAACTAAGTATTAAGCATGCATTTTTGGCATACTTTCTTACCTTTGGTTCACTTATATTTTCCACTTTAGGTTCACCCTGTGATGAAAAATAAATACATTTAACTTAATAAAACAAGCAGTGGATATACTTTCATTCATAAGTATACAGACTCAGTAAAGAACATGGCTTGTCAAATATTTTAAACTGTGCCACTTACGACTTTGAGTGGATGCAGTGATCCCACATAGGGCTGTTCCACTCCCCATGCCGCGGGGTTGGGGAACCCCCCCACCTCCAGGACACGTGGTATGCCCTGGAAGAAGGGATGTGCGTACACCAGCCATCTGAGCAGGAGAAAATACAGAAAACAAGATTAAATTAACCATAATGGCAAATTATGCACTATTATATGAACAACGTTATTATGTAGTTTCACTAGACAACACATTTTTTCACAATTTATCATTCAGAACTCACAGCCCAGCATTAATGATGATAGAGTTGGCCTTGATGGGGTAACCAAAAATCCTGGCATCTTCAGACGTGTCTCTGAAGGTGACCTTCTTCCCTTCTGCGTTCTCCTCTGGGAAAAGACCGATTTCTGGGACGCTGTAGTCCTGAGGGAGGAGAGAAAGCATATCCAAGTCGTTTAGGTTCTCTGATACTGTTTTAAATATATTTTAAAGCCCAACCAGGCCCAGTTATTTATGATTGATACACATACAATCAACACATAACATAAACAACATATTTGAAAAGGATGTGTTTGCTTTTTACAGAAACATGACCAAGATATGGACTGAGCTGGACATTTTACAAATAAGAAATACACGTGTCATTACTCTCTGGTCGACAAATGGTGGACTATATGATGATGTTTAACAACCTCGAAGATAGCTCCAAAACTAAAAAGCTAATAATGAACAGCTTTATGGTTTTGTAATTCTTGTAGCTTATGTTGCTGCTTTGGTTTACATTGAAAGGTCTGGGACTATACAAAGTGTGAAGTATACGGTGGCTGAGCTGCTGCACTAGTAAACTAGTTAAGATGGAAACATACAGTGAAAAAAAAGATGTTAACAATTTGAGAAATAAATAAAACATTAACTTGAGTATATTCAATAGGTTTCTCCTTAAAATAATTGAAATATCAAATGCACCAAACAACAACAGGTGGTTGCTCGTACATTTGACACTAGATGGTGCTACAGAGTTAAAACCCCATCATAACTGAGTAGCTACTGTACTAAACAGCCTTTTTAGCATCAGATAACAATGTTAAGGAGATAAGATCAGAACAGAAAGGATATCCGATCCACTTTATCCTATTTCTGACGACAGCAAAAACAACAGAGTGAAGTGAACTCACCCTGACCGCTCTTCGAATGGACCCGATGATGAACTTCCTCTCAGGCTTAGTCACAGTTTTCTCTTCACTCGATTCTCCGTTCTGGTCTCCGTTCTGTTCTCCTTTCTGTTCTCCACCCTCTATCTGCCCGTTCTGCAGTTCCTCCTCTGGGGGGTTGAAGGGGCAGGTGAGCTCTAGGTCTCCCTCATCCAGAGCGATCTTCTCCCCTTTGAAGTTAGGCTTCTCATACAGCACCCATCTAAGAAGGGGGAAAGGGCTGGGGTTATAACCTCCACTGTAATATCAGCAGTTCTCCTGGGTGTGTTGGTATACCATGCACAGCCTCTGTTGATGTGTTCTATTATTTTGTTCTTCAACAGTGCTCAGACATGGGCACAAAAGTGTCTCCGTTTTTCTCTAAGTGATGTTGCTGATTATCTTCTCAAACAATGCAACTTGACTTGAAAAATCGACATTGGAATGAATGTCCTAACATTTGTTTTAATGTCTCAACATTACATATGCTAAGTTGTTAAGTTGCTGATCATCATTTTGAGCCATGGATGTGTACTTATGTAGTCTTTATTTGTATTCTAGTAGTAACACTGTCGTTAAAATGCAAACACTGTACATTTCCCTGCTGTGGGAGTAATAAAGGATTTCTGATTCTGATTCTGATAATATATTAGTTTTTAATGGGAAACTGTATTAGAATAAACACTTCCTTCTCCTTGATATTTTTTAATTAGAGAGTTAGCTGTGGTTTGGTCAGTAATGCAGGGTGTGATGCTTCAGATGAAAGCTTAATTATTTCCTTGTAGCAGGTGTTAGTCTGGCGGTACAGGTTGGATCAGTGCTGCTCCAACTGAACACTGTGGCTAGGTTTAATAAAACATTCCACATCTGAGGCAAGTATGTGTTTAAGCATGTGTGTGGGAGTGTGAACAATTTAAGGCATTTGCATGTCCACAGAGCATCAATAGCTGGTTTGTTTTGAAGTGACAGCACATCCAGAGAGAGTTCAGTGTTTTATTACACAACTATCATTTTGAGTGAAACCAGGACTGGAGGTGTAATCCTATCTACTCGTGCAATTTTGAAGATCTAAGGAGGCTTCGGGTTTATTGTTTGTTATCTGCAAATATTTGCGAAAGTTACACTGTAGGTGCACCGGATGGTTAAAAAACTAAAAATGTCTAAATGTCTTAAAAGTGTGCAGCGGTATTTGCTTTTTGCCTTGTAGCAATTCCACGCTACAAAGTTATTCTCAGTAGATTTTAAAGTATATTTTGCATTCACTTTGCAAAGTGACAAAATAAAGTATACTCAAAGCAGTCTAAAAAAGGAAGCCTTCATTTTGTTTCTTGCCGTCAATGTACGCTATTGTCCCACAATGCAATGCACAAGTAAATGAAGGAGACTGCAACAAATAAACTATGATGGGGAAACATTTAACACAAAATAAGACCTAACAGAATCACAATCTTTGGAAATTCCTGTGTACACATTTGTAGAAGTGCAGTATTTTGGGATACTAACTACTTACAGCACCAGCAGTGTTCAGAAGCTACATTTTGAATGCTGTTTTTTGTACAGTAGTATTGGATTTAATATAGTTTTACGGGAAACATTTACAAATGTACATGAACTTCTGCAATGTGTGTGCCGTTCAGCCACTCACCCTCCTCTGACGACCCTGATGGAGATGGTCTCTTGCAGGTCCCATGGCGTAGCATCGATGACATCACTGCGCACCTCGAGCCTCTGCCCGCACATTCCAGGTCGGTCAAAGATATACAACTAGAGCAAACGTGAAGAGGTGTAGAAAAAAGATTATAGATCGGATTTACTACATGGTGTTACTTGCGTCCCCAGGGCGGGCGTTTGCCAATACAGGTGTGATGTCTGTGACTGTGGCTGAGGGCAATTCCCTGCTCACTATGCACCTCTGCAGCCTCAAAAAGATGTATTAAAAAGATGTTTCGACAGAAAAGTAGTCACATGTAATGCTTTGCAAAGGGAGTCATTTCGGTAAGAATGTCGAAATGGCAAACCAGATAAAATCACAGGAATGATAAAGAGTTACTGCAAGCAAGAGTTTAACCTGTTTGGCTGAAAAATCCTTTATATGGAAATGTCAAGAAGGGAGCCAATATCATCTTGTGGCATCATCTCAAGTTTCATGTCAAAGCATGAATCTTAAATGTCATGCTTATCCCCTTAAGACATCAGATACAACACTGTAGAATGTAGGGGTATGGGAGTAAAGTTGAGTGAGGGAAACAAAGAAAGGAAAGTTATTCTAAGATGGATCAATGCTAAAACCAGTCTACAGTAGTTAAGAACAGAATAGCTTTACGAGGTTCTTTGTTTCTTGAGCTTGACTTTGTTGATTGTTGCTTTCTACATAACCTTTCCCCTACAGTACAGACATGTTGGGTCCATTCAGGTCTAAGGCCCTGGAGCATGGAAGAGAAGCTGATCCTAAATGTCAGCTCCACCTCTGGTTCTCAGGATTGCTCGTATACAAGGTGTGCTGCATGCAGCAGCAAGCCTGACCTTTACAAGTGAACAATCATGTGTCTTGGAATAGGGAAATGTGTGAATTCTAACGGCATAGATCATGAAATAACTACCAGGTAGATGTTGCCTGGGATATTTTGGATGATCTGGTTTAGAACAAACAGTGAATGAATGTGTTGCAGCACAATGCCACACCACATTAACATCTCACACCTATTATCACAATGAAACCTCTATCATACAGCTGTCTCTGCAGTTTGTTTATATCAAGATAACTTTGCTATACACTGGTGCAGTTAAACAATGGTGAAGTATATTCACCTCTAATAGCCAATTTTGTCATTATTCATATCACATTCGTCCAACTTATTTTCAGTTTTTTCTAATAATTAAATGTTGATGCAGAAACATTCTATTTAATTATATCTGTAATAGGTCGTTGATATAAGAACATTGAGCTACACTAAGTGCTTCTACCACATTCTAACCTGGTCTCAAAAGACACTGATATCATGCCTATGCAGGTATAATCTTTAAATCTTTTGTAGACCATTCTATCGATTTGAACACACATTCGCACATGTATCTCACTAGTATTTAGATGAATGTATTGAACTATGTCGTGTGGAGACTCACCTTTCCAGGACGAGGATTGAGCTTCCCATGCTCCTTCTCTTTTGTGAGCTACAAAAGAAAAACACATTTATTTTAGAAAGCTTTCTTATATATTTAGTATTAAGCAGTGCATTGTCTTTTGTTTTACACACGGTCAAGATAAAAGCCAAGAGTAAGTGCAGTGCTGTATACAAATAAGAGGACTTCTATCAATAATACAAACGACTGTATGAATGTGAAAATAAAGACTGGACTTCAAAAGCATGATCACTATTACACATTTTTAGGTTAGACCCCATGTCCGCATACATTTTATTTAGACTGCACCCAGTTTCTACCTTGTGGATTTACACATGCCAGACAATCCAAAAACATGTGTTTATGTTCAACAGCCTGTTCAACAGGTTCTGTTGGCGCCGGGGAGGCAGAATGAGGACAGAGGACCACTCCATGACAAAATAAGCACCTCTACTGTATGACAGGTGTGAATACTTTACATTCCTCCCTGGTATCTATACATCAGACATTCTAGTACTACTCCCATTGATAACAGGAGATCTGTTCTGAAATGACATGAGGATTAAGTGTGTGCGTGTGTGTGTTCTTTAGGGCCTTTGAATCTCAGCTGGTATGCTGCTTGAATGTCTAGGTTGTTTGATTGTGCAACTTGGATTGTGGTTGCAGACGAGTGCCATGCAATTATCAAATAGATGTTTCAGAGGGAGCAGTGTTTGGTCTCACGTATCACTCCACTATCTGGAAGCCCAGTAGGAAACAGGGTATGATCTGGATCAGGTTACAGACCAAAGTGGACCTCCTACAGAAGCTCTCATTTCAACAGGCCGCATTACTGTCCCACCTAGCCCTCATTTACTTTAGAAACCTTTTTAATTTAATGCATTCTTAGGAAAAATAACCAAACCCAACCAAATGTAGTTCAAATGTAAATAAGAATGGATTTACTTTCTAAATTTTTTACATTTTCAGTTAAAGCAAGGTGAGGGGATCAATGGTGCTTTTTCAGTATTGACCTTGTGAATAAGAGTCATTCACTGTTCACAAATGTACTCTATAACAACAGAGGTTTCCATCTATAAAGCCTATTAGAAAATCTACTCCCTTTTATCTGTCAATTCCCTGCATTTTGAGTCAAGAAGAATAAATGTTTAGCAGATGATGATCTCTTATTTCTCACAAAATACATTAGCTCCACTTGTATCACGCTTTACATAAAACCAGGAATAAGTGTTAAACCAAAGCTTATTAAAGGCAGAGCTTCAAGATACCTTTTTCAACAATTTATTTTAAATATACAAACATTTTCCTGAAGGGTATTAAGAGAATCCTTTTTTCCCCATTTCTTAGTTTTTCATAATCAACAAAGACTCAAGTTCAATGTATTAATTTGTCTCGCAGCCGGACATGGCATAATGTGACTGTATGTTCATGTTATCTTTACAGTTGAGTGACAAACACTGAGACAATGGAGGAGTAGTTGTCGTATCATCTCGCCTGACTGCGACACTTGAATCGGTCTCACAGGGTTTCTTTACAAATCATTTGAGGGACAGTCATGCTTCTTAGAAGGATTATTACTCAACTCATCTGACAACCATCGGCAAAGGTCAGTGTGACTAAGGGTGGAATGTTTTAAGTTAGGCGTTGGAATTTGATTTGTGATGTCTATACAATTAAGTCCAGGCCTTCATTGATTGTCTATTGGTTGCATTTTGGACAGCACATAATCCAGCTAGTCTCCACATGGAGAATCAGTTAAATACATTATTCTGTTCTTTGCATGTTTCATTTGTTAAAAATGTAATATTCTAACCTAATGATGCCATTTAATCACATTACATGTATCTTAATTAAACTCTCACTTGCTTCTTGAGGCACACGTATACATTATAGCAATAAAAGAATAGCAAATCACTCACATTCCAATAATGAATACTTCCTTTAAAAGAAGTTCCAATGAAGTCCTGTCAACGCTTTACTCACTGCTGTGTGGTTTTTGCACATGTATTTCCTTCTGTACTAACTTGATGTCTTCACTATGCAGCTAAAGAAAACCCAGCATTATTCATTAGGAGTTAATTGTTTACTGCTGCTTTAATGCCTAATACAAATCTATACTACAACACATATTTGCCCCCTCTCGATCCTTTCACTCCCAGCAGCCTGAAACACGATCTGCTCTCCCATAAAATTAACAACCACATTGTGGAATGTGCCGTTTCAGCAAACAACATAATAAAAGAAGACACACAAAGATGTGCGACGAAACTAACGATCAGAGTACATTAACACTAATAAGAGTAAACAAATCATCTCTTTGTCATCTTTTCTCACCCTGCCAACTTCATGTTCCTCCCTGTCAACTTCACTCAATCAATGAATCAAGAAGAGAGATATGTGAATGAAAACAAAAGACGAGGTGTGGCTGTGTCTCTGCAGGATCCGACAGATAACTGGAATGAGTGGATAGCCCAGTAGAGATTTAAAAAAAAAAACAGAGAGAAGCAGAACATTTTCTGTAGGGATCAAATGAATTAGAGGCCTCACGCCCACCAGCTGATGGTTTACATGCATTGAAGACTTTACAGCATGTGCTTGACAAAACGAGATACACACTCATCCTGCAGCCTGTTTAAAAGTCCCATAAAAGGGACGTGTGCAAAATTCCCTTTCCCCAGGGGTTAGTTCAATAGCATCGTTTTTTTCCATTTCTTCTTACTTTTTATTGACGAAGGGAGTACAAGCTGCATACAAGCAGGATGCAGCTGTAAATATATATCCCTGTTCCCATCCACTGCATAACAGGACACCAACACACTACTTTAACTGATACAAGGCAGTTCATTGTCTGAATACCTTGTGTACATAACTTTAGTTTACACAGCGTTATGTAATATTATATAGAACTGAATTCTATAAATCTACATTATAGTACATTATAACTACCAGTGAAGCTAATGGGCCTTTTAGGTTTACAAAAAGTGGCCTGATATCCAGATCAAACAAACAAGTGATAGGTGACTACCTGTAATTAGCTGCTTCTGTGGTAGTAATCATAAAGTAATCATCCTGCCTTCTGTCTGCCTTCTCTCCATACTGTTTCAAAGCGCTGTTATAAATTCTCGACTAAGGCGGACAGTTTAAAACTCTTAAAAAGTGTGAAATGTTTGTTGTGCTGCAGAAATATGTCCCTGTACGTTTTTCAAAGGGCCCCTCTCTAAATCATCAGTCTCAGCAGCTCAGTCAGTAATATGAGCTGTGGTCAGACTGCATACTTTAGCCGGGGAAAAGGAGCTGCTGCAGCCATATAACTGATGCAGCTGAGGCCATCTATGTATTGTATTGAACATGAACAAACATCCTGTGCAAACACTTGTACAGCACAGGATAGCTGTAGAGCAAAGAGTACTTACATAATAGTATCCAGCTGATACTCTTTTGTTATTGCACGGACACAAATAACACTACGCACATGTGGTATGCATGTAGGGAGTAGATTAACAAATAATATCCGCAGGGAACAGCATAATTAAAAATTAAAATGCTAGGAAATGTTTTTACATTTATGGTTAAAATATTGGTTAATAGTAGGGTGTGAGATAAACTGTTTTTCTGTGCAGAGGTGAGAATAGAAATTTGCAGTGTGAGCCACAAACTTTGCCAAAAACAGAAAGACAGGTAGAAACACAAGTAGAGAGCGTGTGTGTGCACACTTGTGAAATGATGTTCTTCCTCATTTAAAGACTTGTCCTAATCAGTTAAGCACTTCACCTGCATGCGTGCATCGGAGAGCGAGTGCATACATGCATGAACACAAGACCGCATACACACCCTTTTTTCTGATTCTGCGTGGGGAGTGCATGCACCTGACAGGTGGGGGTTAATGGTTTGGGTCTAATACACTTTTATTTTTTTGCCAGGCATGTTTGCTTAAGGAGCACCACGGATGCACTGGGTTACACCGAAACCAGCCACTTCCAATTGCTTATACACGTACTTGATTTGAATATCTCTATTAATGGTTCATGATGCAGTATCTGAAGCAACATAAAGAGTGTTTTTTCCTGTGTGCACAACAACCTACATTTGAAGTCATCTCTCTCACCTAATGTAACCTGACCTGCTGCCTGTCTTTTTCACAACCTGGAGTTAAAACAGATCTGGGAGGTAGGCTAGGAGCCAACATAATAAAAGAGTAAACACAGGTATAATACAAAGGAAGATATATGTGTAGAGGATCTTCTTTGTAATGCTGTTACTGTATTGCTACCATTGTAAGCCGCACACACTGTATTTGCATGCATGCATACAGTGCATGCATGTAGGTATGAAGAATGATGTCACAAGAAGATAAGTGCTTCTTCTACAGCATTCTCAAACTAAACTTTGCCTGGGGTTGTATAAAAATGTGCGACTCGTGCAATGTGGGCCTGCTCCAACAGACATGACCTCTACAAGCTATTCACCAAAACGTAGACTAGCAATATTCATTATAGAATTGCAAATCCCCCATTGCAACATCATGCTTGTGAAAATGTCAAATGTATTTGGCCTCCGTGGTGATATACAGAGAGCTGCAGGAGTGAGTCCTTAAACCCAGAAATGAGTTAGCGATAAGCACTTTGTTACTTCATATCGAAGTCAATGTTTTTTTTTTTTTTTAAATTGGTTGGATGTCTGAAATAAGGTCTGACTTCTTATTGAACTGGTATAAATTGTTCAGGGGATTGCTAATATACTTCAAAAATGGTACAATTGGTGTTAACTTATGAAGATGATCCTTCTGAAAGAACATTTATTCCTCACCGAGCTAATTCTCTGCAAAAATCCAATAAAAAAGAATTCCCCTTGGGCGTTTGTTGAGGGGAATTTGATGCTAACTTCTGCTTACTTGGCCTACAATGATAAGTTATCCCTGCACCAAATGTGTATATGTCTTCTAAGCAATAACACTAAGTGACACTTCATAACTTTTTTAGGAATACTCACATAGGCATCAGGGAAGGCCCTGTATTTGGGCACTAAATTCATCTCAGGCTCCATTTCTTGCCTGGCCTGGTAGCCCCCCATGCCGCCATCACTACTGAAGCTCCTCTGCAGGATAGGATTGCCCAGTGCTCCAGTACCGGCACCAAACCCCTGTGTCTGGCCGAACTTGAATAAGGGGGAGTTTGGGGTGTTGTAAGGCCTCTGGAGGTCTATGGAGCCGGTGGGGCTGAGGAGGCGGGTGGGACTGTTGCTGGAGGTGGGTGAGCCGATGCCCAGCAGGGGGGGCCGACTCATACGACTGTTGGGGTCTTCGGCCCCGGACAAGGAGCTCGACGAGGAGTTCAAAAGGAAGGAGAGGCGCTCGAAGCGAGACCCCCCTACTTCTGTTCCCGGTTCACCGAGCTTCTTGTGTCCCATACTGATGCGGTCGTTTGAAAGCCCCGTATCAGGAAGCGAGCCGGTGCGGAAGAGCGGGCGATGGGCCTTTCCGTTTTCCATGGTCTGATCTATGGATGATAACCTGTGGTTTTTAAAGATGAGACTGTTGTCTAGGCGGGAGCCAATGCCGGAAGGTGAATTAAATCCATTTCCATTCAGCATGGGGGATTTTAATTCCTCAGGCGAAGAGTCAAAGGATGTTCTCATTACTTGACTGTTGGTTGCAGACGCTCTCAGGGGCAAGTTCAGCATCTTGGATCCAGGTGGCTGCTGCTCCTACAGGGGAGTAAAGAAAGGTAAAGGGTTGATTAGACCAAGTTACAAAACACAACAAAACAGGACATTCGGCCTCCTGTTACCTCAGATAAACCACAGATGGATAATTGAAAAATGTAGTTTTTTTTTTTTACCAGTTAATGAGTTAAAAAACAGCTATTAAACCATTTCCAACAGCTAAATATATTTATATAAATAGTACTGTTATGTCATGAGCCTAGATGTAGATTGTCATGCTCAATGCAATAATATGCATGAACGGTTGTTGTGAAAAACTGTCTAACCCTGATTTAAATTGCATTTTAGAAGTATGAGATTACGTTTTTTGATTAAGTAACAACAATGAACAGAATTCACAGAATTTAAAATGTCTGAATGTACTCTACCTGCTGGTTCTGCTTGAGTAGTTCCAGTGGTGAGCGAGTGTCTCTGGGGCTGTTCCTCTTCAGTCCCAGATCAGCAGGCAGAGTGTAATTTACTTTGATTGACTCTGCAGGGTTTCCCATTGCCTCCATCTTTTTAGTGGGGCTCCTGCTGAAGTCAGGCATGTCGAAGGCGATGGGGGTGGGAGTATCCTCATTGATCGGTGGCAGGGAGGAGAGGAGGACCGGAGGAGGCCCACGAAGTCCTGTGTTCCTGGGTCTCAAGGAAGGTCCCATGTTCTTCAGGGTATCCACTAGGCTATCCATGTCAATCTGGTACGGGGAGTCTGGGTCGGGGGAGGCAGGGGGAGTGGAGGGGCGAGCTGCAGGCTCGGAAACCAGCTCCACCAGCGTGGCCTTGAACACTCCAGTAAAACGGAATGAGTCGTCGTCTTCGTCTTGGAAACTGTCGACGGTGTCCTGGGTGGATTGTTGTGTCGAGGTGAAGCTAGACGAAGGCAGCTGCTGTGAGTCCCAGCCTGACTTTATCCTCTCTGACTCTGCCTCTCTCTCCATGGCAGGTGCAGCAGGCTCCTCCTCCTCCACTAAACTCCGCCTCCACTCATCCTTTGGTGCCTCTGCTGGCTCGCTCTCATAGCTCCGATAAATCCTGCTCCTGTCAGTCAGTCTGCTGCCATAGCGATCCTCTGAAGAGAGGGAGGAGGAGGCGGCACTCAGGTGTTTGTATGCTGAAGCCTCGGGGAGATCAGAGGAGGAGTAGGTACTGGAGTAGGAGTTTGACATTCTGTAACTCGGAGAGTCAGAATAGGAGGAAGACTCTTTTGTGTACGGTGTGTACTGAGAAACCCCGTCAAATTTGTTCTTCCATCTGTACTCTGAGCCTGTATCTGTAGCCGTGTCCTGGCTATCCTCAGTGGTATTGGCTTCAGTGATCAGAGACACTTTACGGTATTTAAGTGTGGCATCATCCTCTTCAGGGAGAGATGAACTATTTAAGGACAGTTTGGTGCTCAGGCTGCTGTAGCCTGAGCTCATTTCGCCCACAGATTCCTTTTCGGCTTTAGGCAGCTGATTCTTTAAATTAAAGACTCCTGAAGCTACTGTCAGGGATCTGGGTAGATACAGAAAAAAGGGCAAAGATGAGAAACACAGAATAAACAGCGCCGGAGTTTGATAGTAACCGGACCACAGTGTATCAAACACTGCAGTGCCTCAGGGCGTGGTGGTCATGCAATGCCAACAATGCAAATTATACAAAGCAACTTTCATTATTTCATCTGCAGGCAATGTCAAATACAGTTTACAAAGGCCTCATCAATGCAAAAACTGGTGCACTAGATTCCAATCTCAATTTCCTGTCAAGTTGTTGAAGAGTCTGAATGTCTTGTACAAACTGTTTCTAAAATGCAGTTAGTTATGTGACATAATAAATAACAATTAGTTCATGACGGGAGGATCGTATGCACATAAGCAAAAAACTGTCAGCTATAATTCAGGGTTACTCAAAGTCAACACTACATTTATAGTATACGAACTGTGATAAGCAAACTCTTTAGCAATGTCAATATGCTGTATATTTACAGGTATGTACATGCCATGGCATAAAGTCAACAACCCCAAGACGATTTTGTTAATGATAAGTAGACTTGTTTCCAAGCACTTCATCAATGTTACACTTCAAATGGCCACATAAATATCGTAAAATGTCTGATTTACTGATGATCAAACGTTTTTTTTTTATTGTTTTACATGTGCAAACCTTTCTAACCGGAATAAAAAGGGAAGTTGGGATTTATTCATGGATTGTAGACATGAAAGCCCTCAAATCTGATAAGTGTAAGTTGTGCAAAATGTGGTTTCTATTGATATGTTGAGTCTTGCAAGTGCATGCATGCTTCACATACTTGACAAGAGAACAATAAATATTTAATGAGAATTGTGTGGGACTTAAATATGCGTTTAAACGGCAAAAAGCTTTCACAAGTCAAGAGTCAATCCGAGTTAAGCCCAGTGAATCATTTGACCTTATATTATAATAATAATGTTGTGCTGTTCTCACAGACTGTGGTGACTATCATGTAAAGGGGAAAAGGGTTGCAAAATGACACACAAAATTGCACATTGTGACTCACCGTCATCATGCACAGGGCGGATTTTACAAAGGTCACGAGAATACAAAAAGAAAGACACCATTATACAGGTATTTTGTTGTTGTATTGCCACATTTGAGGCAGGCATTTGAGCACTGTAACAGAAGAGGTAACATTTCATAAAACAATTTAAGAAATACATGAAAAATTAGCAGGAATGTCCACAAGTTTTGAGGACATGTATCATCATAGCATCATTGGGTGCATGTGTGCAACACATTTGGGTTTCAGTGGCCCTGAACAGATTTGTTTCCAAACAGAGAATGAGTCTCTGTGTATTTGTTGGTTCTGCAGATCCAGCTAAATGGTTCAAGAGGTCTAAAATAGATGCGGTTTACAATCAAATGTAATTTAATCTCCCCTGATATTGTAAATAAATCACTGAACCTTTAAACAAATACACACTAAAACACAAACTCAGTGTAGTAAGCTTTCAATGGTCGAAAGAAAGGAAGCTAGTCTTTGCTTAACTCTCATCCTTCACACTGGCATTTATCTTAATATATTCTTGTCAAATTTGTCATTACTTTTTCAATCACCCACACAGAATTCTTTTCAGAAGTGCAATGGAGTAAATTGATTTAAATCAAACAAAAAAAAGAAGGTTTGAATGTGAAATTAAAAAAAGAGAGCCAAAAATAGGATATGGAATAATGGCGTCTTCCCCAGTAGAAACCCAAGCACCTTGATCCCCCAGGTGGATACATTCTGCTCCTGGCACATGTGGAGTACATTTCTGCTGTAACCACAGAACCACACCTATCCCAGAGGGCACCTGCACAATCTGGCGCTGATACATACTATTCAATTATGTTTGAGCATGGTGTCATTTGAGTTCTCTTTCACGCTCGGCCATGCAAAACCGAGGATCAAAGAGTTACATCTGCCTTCATTTCATTTCTCAGTAAATATTAAACTCCTCTTAACAGTGAATACTACTCTTTCTGTACTGATTAACATTCTAAAAATACTTCTCTATTATCTCTATGAGGGTAGTCACTGTACGAACTTTAGTCAAACTGTCAAAACAATGGTGAACAAGAGACTATCTTGTGATGGGATCACTCAAGCTGCAATGACCTTGGTTGGCCGGGGGTTGCAATAGCCATTACCCAACTAGCTAAAAAACAATACCAGCAAGACTGCTGAAAACATGTGCATACCAAAAAGGTACAACAAGATGCTTAGGATATTTTTTACATTTTGAAAAGCACATTGACACATTGCTGCGAAGCAATTATTATTATGTGTCTTTACTAGACACAGTACATCTCGGGTGGAGTCTTTAATAATATTGATTTTGAATGGTTGCCAGTTAAAGTTATGTGGGTTAGGAGAAAGATGAAATCAAGCATGCAGAACACGTGAAGGCGATGCGTTTCCTTCAAAAGTTACAGGATGGAAACAAACTTTTTAGATCTGGTTGAGTCTGCATGTCTAAAAATATGATTTCTCTCTATAAATCTATGAATGGGAAAAGAGCCCATTTCTTGCTCCCATTCTCTTTACATATGTTTAGGGGATTAGATAATGGTCTCCTGAGTATACAGAAGCATGACTGGTGACTGTTTTCCAACATCTGTCTGGCTGTCAGTCAACAGGCAAGTCCAGCAGCTTTACTGAGCTCAAGGCAGAGGGGTTACGTGTAGTAGAGACATCAACAATCACTGTGAACATTGTCTTCATACCATGAATTTTAAAGGGAAGTGCACAGAACCTGCCTGAAGTGATGTCACATGAGTGAGCGTCTGTATAGATGAAGACTATATATTAAAACAATTAAAAAAATCTAGAGATATGGGGACTTGTATTGCTCCATTCTTTCCTCTGCCTGCTGCTTGAGGCTACATTAACATTTGAGTTGCATTGTGGGTTATGTATGCGCCAGGTTACTTGAAGGAAGAAGAATGTGGTATAAAAAAAAACCCATCATCTCTGGTTCTGCTGCATGGATTTTGTTGTTGTCAAAAGATTATAAATCAGTGGAGTGCTCTTTAATATATAATACAACAAGAAAAAGAGTACTGTTTACTCAAATGCTGTTGATAAGAAAAACTGACATTTAGCCATTTCATACAAGGGTTGGCTAAATGTCTATGTCAAGACAAGGTGGGAACTTCTTATGGTTATTTCACCAAAGACTCAAATATTTACTTGGTACTCTTTACACATTGTATATATATATATATATATAATACAGTTTATTCAGTCAGTGAGAGTTAGGGTCATCAGTTCTCTAAAAGGCGGTCAACGTCATCACTCACTAACAGTGTTAAAGTGACAATGATGTGGAAAAACACTTAAAGATTTTCTGTTAACCTATCAATTGTTAAACGGTAGGAAAAAGCCTCTAAGAAGTTACTTGTACAGATCGTAGGTGTAAATTAAGTCTGTCAAGAGCTAGGATTTCATGAAGATGTATTTGGTCACAGCATGATTTACAACAGCGATAATTCTCCACAAGTTTGTCATTCCATTAATTATCTGTCAGATAAAAGCCAGTCTGTCACATGAAAGGAAAACAAAAGACAACGTTTAGTGGCAGAATTCTGACTAAACACCAACAAGTGGCTCAACTGGCTTTATGATAACAGAAACATCTTGACACTCATGTGTTTCTGTCGAAAAAAAACACCCAACAAGGTAATCTGCTGGACTACAATTCTTAAGAAAAGTATCTGTATCTTCAATCAACACCTTGGATGAGACGGTCGCCACATGTCTTGTTTAGATGCCTATGTATCTCCTTATGACAACACTACAGGAGCCCTGTCAGAGAGGTGGGGCTGGCAGAATGCCTCATCTTTCAATAAGCAGCGGAAACTGTGTTGATTTAAGTGTGGAAGTTGGTTGGCAGGTTTTGGAAAATGTAATCCAGACACACGCACTGTGGTGAAAAAAGCTGCAGCAGTATAACAACTTCGTCTGTCTTTAATTCATATTATTTCACTATGAACTGTAATGTATCTGATATATTTAATTCTTACAGTTAAACACAATATATACTTATTTTCCAAAGCAGCCAAGTATTTTGCATATCAAAAATGTTTTAATGCATGAACAAAAAAGGCATTTACAGTTGAGGCCTACATTATTAGCCCCCCAGGAGTTATGGAACATTTTCCTAAAATTCTTCCCAATGTTTTCAGCATTGATAAAACTTGATATAATCAAACATTCACCAGTGCTATTTAGTAGCTTTTGGTACATTTTGGAAAATAAAATACGTTTTTAGGCTTGCTTTATATCAAATATAATGAAAAATGGGTTGGTCAAAAATATTAGCCCCCATGTGAATTTTTGCTTTCAAAACACACCTAATCAATCAATCAGCTTTCAAGCCACACCTGAGCATTCAATCAGCATAAAAGGACTCCAAGAAACAGGCACTCTGATACCTTATTGAGAGGGACTATACTACTACTCCCACTCACCATGCCAAAGACAAAGGAAATCAGTCTTGAGCTCAGAAAGAAGATAGTGGAGGCTCATGATAAGGGGGAAGGCTATACTGCTATTTCCAAGCGCTTCACAGTGTCTAGAACTGCTGTACGTTGCATCATTGCGAAGTACAAGGAGACACATTCTGTAAGACACAAACCTAGGCGTGGTCGAAAGCGCAAGATTTCTGAATAGTCTGAGATGTCAGCAAGAATCCCCGGACATCTGCCAAGATGATTGTTGCTGACCTGGCCTCTTCTGGAGTTGATGTTTCAAGGAACACAGTTGTGAGGGCTCTTCAGGGCTTCAGGGCCATCGTCCCAGAAGAATCCCTTTACTCAAAGAGCGGCACGTCAGAGCCAGACTGAGGTTTGCCCGTGAACATTTGAAAGGTAAAGATGAGTTTTGTAAGTCTGTGCTTTGGTCTGATGAGACTAAACTGGAACTGTTTGGGCACATGGATGTTGCTTATGTTTGGCGAAGAAAGGGAGAGGCCTTCAACCCTAAGAACACATCATGCTGTGGGGCTGTTTTGCAGCCTCAGGCACAGGGAGCCTTGTTCGGGTGCAAGGCATCATGACATTTTTTAATTATGTTGACATTTTGAGGGATAATATGAAAAAATCTGCTCTTAGTCTTCGCTTAGGTCGTCGCTGGGTCTTCCAACAAGACAATGACCCAAAGCACACATCAAAATTGGTCCAACAGTTCCTAAAGGACACCAAAACCAAGGTGCTGGAGTGGCCCGCACATAGCCCAGATCTTAATCCTATTGAGAATCTGTGGCGGGTGCTCAAAGTGAATGTCCATGCTTGGAAACCACGCAATTTGGACTAGCTGGAACAATTTGCAATGGAAGAATGGGCCAAAATCCCTCAAGAGACCTGTGCCAACCTAGTAAAGAACTACTCTAAGAGGTTGTTGTCAGTTGTGGCTCAGAAAGGGTACACTATTGATTATTAATGGCCTGGGGGCTAATATTTTTGACAACCCATTTTTCACTATATTTGATATAAAGCAAGCCTAAAAACTTATTTTATTTTCCAAAATATACCAAAAGCTACTAAATAGCACTGGTGAATGTTTGATTATATCAAGTTTTATCAATGCTGGAAACATTGGGAAGAATTTTAGGAAAATGTTCCATAACTCCTGGGGGGCTAATAATTTAGGCCTCAACTGTAAGTATATAAATATACATTTGGAGTTAACTTGTTGTGATAGGGTTGTTTTACTATGTATACAATGAATCAGTGACGTGCGGTGAGGTTCATGGCTGGTGAGGCACTGACTCTTTCAGAGTCAGATTTACAAATATTATAGCCTATTTTGACCTTAATCGAAATATTCTGTTATTTTCAAAAGCTTTTTTAGTCTGATGCTATGATTAATTTTAAACAGACCGATCAACAAAAGGATACCCAAAATCTAAATATTGGATTGTTCTTTCTAAGTAAGATCCCATTTTCATTACAGTTGTGGTCTTACCTTGACTTGAATATAAGTCCATGCTATCCTTCTGGACAACAATCTCTATTACTGTTTTGTAAAAGTCCTGCTTATCTTCCTGTAGTTTCAAAAGTCTAGTTTCTTTGTTGTTTGCGGTAGAATAACAGTAGCAACAAGAACCTGTGGGCTCACGTGCGCCCCCTTCAGTGCGGCAGAGGTTATGGCTGCCTCTCCTGGTGATTTGCCGTTGTATGATGAGACCAACGAGCCTAAATATCATATATACGTGAAATAAGTTATTTAGAGACTATGGATGGCGAGGATAAATGTAATAAAGGGATCTACAAACATTACATTGGTGACCTACAGTGAGATGGGAACAGGCATGCGCTTAGGGCCCGCTTTCCAGCCAGTTTCTGTGGGGTGACACATTCTGAATTGAGGCAGAGCTCATCTGTGCCTCACCTGAGAATGCGTCACCCCACAGTAAATGGCTTGAGCGCGCTCACAAAATAAGTGGCCGCGCTAAATTAGTGCCCGCGCTCCAGCAAGTTACTGTGGGTTTACGAGAGGCAGTGCTCGTGCCTGCCTCACTTCTCATCGCTCCCGTAGCGGAGCTCGGCAAATTTGCTGATTTTGACTATAAAATGCGATTGGAATCATACATAAATCACATTTACACAAGATCAGTGGAGACATTTTATTATTATTATTATTTAGTTTTTCTTTAATTGTTTTTCCGTTACATTGGAGTATGACAGGTGAGGCTCTGCCTCCCCTGCCTCCAATGACTGCACGTCGCTGCAATGAATGCACTGTCCTTACCACTGCATCGCAAAGAGTCTAGGCCGTGTCTTATTTCTTTGTGTTGGTTTTGCTAAGTGTTGGTTTCAGCCTTCCACTCAACTAAAAAGACGCCTTTGCTGCCATCTTGTGCTTCATAAATACTTTAGGAAGCAGAAGTTGGGAAGGGTCTGTGTTTGCATAGGTACTTAAAATAAATGATGCACAAGATGTCAAACCTTTTGAGTTGACATATAATAAGTCTCACACTATATTAAATTAAAGCATTTTTCCTTGTTTTAATGTTCAATTATCCCTTGTAAAAGCCCTCAAAACTCACATTTTCACTCTTGCCTTCAACTCCTAATCCACTAACCCCTCACCCCTATTCCACCTAGTTTAGCACTTTTGTTGTTATTTTTCTTTACTTGCTTGTAAAGCGCTTTGAGCACCAGGAAAAGTGCTATATAAATAGCATGTATTATTATTGTGAAGCACTTTGTGTATGAAAGCTACTACACAAATAAGGTGTATTGATATTATTATGCCACTAAATCCCTTTACATTGTACTCAGAGGGTAGAAGATTAAAGCCTTTCTTTGCTGCTTTGTGGTTTATATAATGATCTGTCGCTGCAACAGAAAATCTGTGTCTGTCATCATGTGCCACACATTGCTCAGGAATCTTATCTTTCTCAGGTATCTTCTGGCAGAAAAAAGGAAACCATGGTCTCTGGTAGCAACTGTTTTGAACATGGCAAACACAAACAGATGCCTGTGCACAATGGCACAAAAAACATCACAGCTCCAGTCCTGCTGTGCCTGTTTTACCGTGTCAAATAATTTCCTGTGGAGTCAGATTCTTGATCAAAGGAAACTTTGATTACACGTTGTTGCAATGCCAAAACTTTATTACATAAAAGGTGAAACCTGTGAGTAATGTGTGGCACTTCCTGTGATACTCTTATACCGTAGGATGGGGCTCTGCGAGTAAACATACTACTCAGATTTTGTCAACCTCAGGGGGACTGCAGGGAGAGGCTGGGGATATAGAGGCTGCTGGGAAACATGCCACAGTGATAAGTGACCAAATCTGTTTGTATGAACTGCTCAAATCTCCATGTCCATACAGTATGTGTATGGAACAATTGTTTAAATGATATTCATTATTTACATAGCCATTTATTTATTTTGTCCTCACTTTATCTGTACCATCTGCTGTTGTAATAATGTACATTTCCCTGTTGGGACAAATATTTCTAATTCTTGAGGTGTGTATAGTTCTTTTAAATAAATTACAATCCAAAAAGACACTTATCTTTTATTATAGTTCACTCTAGTATGTTTTATGACAGTTGATGTAGTGGATCTGAAAGCAATATAGGTGTTTTTGAGTTTAGCATTTTAATTGAGTATGATTTCCCTCCTTATGCTCTACAAATGTGGTCTTCATAGAAAGTGTATTTAAAGCAGTGTGTGCTTTGGGAGTGTAAAGTAAGGAATCATTTACCACAGCCCGCTTCCAGGCACCGATAACCCCAGCTCAAGGCCCAGTGGTCCGCGCAAAGGGCAATGATGATGATGCTACATTGTTAACTACAAATTCATGTTGAAATTGGAAAGTGAGAAAATCTAGTTAACGTTAGCTCTTAGCTGTTAGCAGTCGGTAGGCAGCACAGACCTGCTCCTAGCAAACAACAAGTAATGGATGTTGCGTTATGCGACATAATAATATGTTAGAGATGTATAAATAATGATGTAATAAAACATTATAAGATGTTCAAATGTCAACTAATGGAATACATTTTTTCGAGAAAGTTGAATAGATACAGTTGTTTGAAAGTAATGCCTTCAATATAAAAACTGAAATTAGAGAGGGAATTATGTCCTATTTAACCCACACGAACTCTATGAGTTGTTGAGGAGCATATATTTAAGAAATGTTAAAAACAAGACAATTTATTTTCTAATCATCTGCACTTTGTGGTTTTATGTAAATAACCACAGTTATGGGATGGTTGAAATCATTTTTCAGAAGGGGTCAGAAGTTAGTCTTGAGCCTTGAATGAGGGGTCAAATTTGAAATATGTTGTCCTTCTCTCCATTGGCCTGATTTAATACCACTTAAACAAAGGAGTATTGAACTGTGAACAGTGTATTTTGTATTGTACTTTGTGTGCTAACATTACTCTACAGTGGACTAACTGTACTAACTGTACTGAGTGATATCTCTCAGTCAAACAAAAGGCCTAACTCTGTATGTAGATGATGACAGGTGATCTGTTGGCTGCAGATGCTTCATGAATTAGTCAGTCAATTATTAAAGTCACAGGTATGAAGGTATGCGACAATGCTCCTCTGTTATGACACAGGTATGTGATCAGCTCTGTTGGTAAACAGGGCAGTTCATCCACTTCTGTCTTTTTGTTATCATGGAAAAGTTGAGGCATGGCACATTTCAGCCTTATCTGAGGGCCACCGGTGAAGTTACTCAAGGTGTATCATCTCAATTGCACAAGTATATTGATTTACACACAAGAACAAGTGACGTTCGCTTATGTTTTTAACACTCCCCTTTAGGCTACATGTACAACATTCCAGCGCCAAAGCTACAGGTCTACATTTTCCTAAATGACAGCAATCAGCTTATGAAACAAATTCAAAACTGTTCGCAATCACTTTCTCTAGGTAATAAATTGTTCTTTCACATACTTCATATATCTTGGGCTTTAAATCCAGACGACCTACATGTACTCAACTTTCGTCAAAGATGATAAGACTCTCCACTTACCCCTGGTTCAGGTCGGGTTGCACTTCTGCCGGATGCTTGTATTTCTCTGATGTCTGTGTCTCTGCAGCAGGACGTTGTGTGTCTGCGTTCGGGGGTGACAACTCGACTGCCACCTGTTCTTGCACCGTCCTGGTTCTGTATGTGCTCTGAGTAATTGTATCCACCCACTCACTACCCTTTAGAACCCTATTGTGTTCAACCTCCGTGGCATCTGATTGCAAATCAGCCCTGCGAGTCAAAGTACCTGTGACAACCTGCACCCTAGCAGGCGTATCTCTGTCTGTACTTGCTGTAGTGACACTGATGCTTTTTGTGCTTTCTTTGCTCACTTCAACTATTTTGTGTGGCACCGCAGTGAGATCTCCTGCCTCTCGTAATCTGGGTGTGAGCATGTCTCCCTCTGTTGTGATACTGGAATCAGCATGTACAGAGCTCATGATGCCTTTGTGACTCTGATACTGTATCACCTCACTCAGGAGTTGCTTGTCCCCATTAGAGTGGTCTTTTTTCTCCAATTCCTCAGTCCAGTTTCCCCTGGACCCCTCCCCCTGCCCATGCAGCTCAGTGGAGGGTGGAGCAAAGTTGCATACCATCAGTGTTTTCACCTGCTGAACCGGTGTGGCAAGTAACTCCTTCTCTCCTTCCTCCTCCCCCTCTTCTCTCACCTGTGGCCATACTGTGGCTGCTACTCCTTCCTCCTGACTCCTTGCATCACTGCCTACAAGAAACGTAGACGTTTCAATGTCCTGCACTTGAGCCTGTGGCCTCTGACCTGCTACTTTTTTCTCCACTTCAATTTGGCTATTGACTCTCTCTTTCCTTTCTTCATTGCCTATTTTGCCTACTTCACTTCGCACTTTAACAATCAACCCCCGAAATTCTCCCTCATCTCTCTTTCTTATCCATCTTTCTGCACTCTCCTCTCGCTGTGGAAACTCAGTCTCTCTCCCCCCGTCTTCCATTGACATTTCTCCCCTTTCCTTCATCGCGTACATCTCTTCTCCCCCGTTCTCCTCTGCGTTGTCTTCTTCAGCACTGTAGTAGATCTCCATACCACTGCCTTCATCTGATCCCACGCTCAGGTATGCTGGACTTAAAGGCCCTTCAGAGCCCTCCGTCGGTCCAGAAGGAGCAAAAAAATACTCCCTTGGTTCAATTCTTATCTCAAGACGCTTTGATGCGCTCATCTTTTCAGGCACAGGACTGACGGGACTGACTGGATCGGTGCTTGCTTCGTCCTCGACTAACTGTTTGAATGGGATCACTCTCTGTACAGAGGCAGTAACCCGAGTGCCTGCCGCTTGGGATGTTACACATTCAGAAATGGGAGGGGCAGAGCTTTCAACCTCGGGCACTGAACTGACATTGTCTTGAATAGGGCTAAAACGGTCTGATTTCACCTCTGAACGTGGATGGGTCATCTCTGAGTAAGGAATTGTATCATTGTCAACTGGTGCAGAACCTGAACTGAGAGAGGAATGTGGATATCTGGGGTTAATATCAATAGTTTCTGTCTGATATTCATTAAGCGTTTTAACCACGACAGGCTTTGATGTGGTGTTAAAATGAATAATCTCAGTATGGACCTTAGGTGGAGGGTTTGAGGGGGAGGACAATATCTCAGAGGTAAAACTCTTGGGGAAAAGAGAGTCATACAAAGCTCCATAAGCAGCATATTCGCTGACAGGAGAACTATTGTCCTTACTAACAGCTGAAGTTGTGGTTACACTCGAGGCAGTTTCAGGAGTAGATTTCTCAGATCCAGAAGTTGAGAATTCTTGGTGGACAGAAGTTAAATCTGTGACTACAGCTGAGTCTTTAGGGTGAGGAACAGGGATTGAGTCGGTAATTGCAGCGTCAATTTTGGAGTCAACACCTGCTAGCGAGAGTTTGCCATTTTGCGTGAAAGCTATGTCAGGGGCTTCAGGTTGATTATGTGATACTGTAACTCTGGGGGATTCGGTGAAAGGGATTTCTGTTGTATTAGACTGCTGCAGAATATCATTGTCACTCAAATCATTGCTTGTGGGGTTACCAGCGACAGCTTTGTGATCAGAGCTTGAAGGCTGGCTAGCTGGTTGGCTAGGTACAGTTTGGTTTTCGACATCAGAGGTGGCTTCTGTTAGAGTCTTAGGAGCAGATGGATCGGAGTTATAATGAACAGGAATGTTCTCTTTTTCCTCCAATGAGCCCAGATTATCCATCTCAGGGATGGTAGCAATCGGTGCTTTCTGTGGTTCCTTATGTACGTCAAATATACTTGAACCAGATGACTGTGATTGGTTTTGGAGAGTAAAATATGATTCTGATTGGTTTGTGGCCACAGGGGGAGGAGAAGGGATGTCGAATGTATCGAAGGTGTCCAGCTCTGGTTGAGACATGCTGAACTTCCTGTTGGTCTGATCCGACTCCAACTGACTGAGGTCCGAAGGAGTCTAGAAGATAAGATGATAATAGTCCAATAATCACATACATTCATGGAAAGATCATCACAGGTGTATCAGAAAAAAATGCAATGATGATAAAGAAACTGGGACTATGGATAAATCAGACCAAATACATATGATTATAAAGCTACATAGATTATAGTTCATGCACTATATTTGAAAATGTATTTGTCACACATTTAGTTTAAACAACATTCAGGGAACGGGTTTACCTCCTCTTGCTCTTCAATGTCAGGTCGATGAAGGCCAAATACGCTCTTAGAGATTCCCTCTTCATTCTTTCTTCTCTTTTTAAAACCAAAGGAGAAGGTCGCAAACCTTTTTGGCTTTCGCAGGTCCAACTCTGAGTAGCTCAACTCTTTGTTCTGAGAGGAAGAAGGAAAGATTAAGGGAAGTAAAGTGAAATAGCGAGAGATGGAGCAAGAAATGAAAAATGTGTGATTTAATCTCAATTCAATAAACATGACGTGTCCTTCAAAGCATCCTGCATCAACCAATACTGAATGAAGCAAAGAACAGGAAGAGCAACTTTCAGAATTTTTAAATAAACATACTGACGATACCCTGCATACCAAACATAACTAACCCTTTTAGACCCTTGCCAATGATTCCCTTCACCTGTAAGAGTTTACACCCTGACTTCAGGGAATTATTAGGGAAAGAAACCAGCGAGTGAATGTATTTGTAATGGTGTTTTTACTGAAAGGTTGTAAGGATGAGATAATCTCTTTGAAAATGCAAAAACAATATTACATCACAATTACTTTAACTGAAAAAAATGATAAATCTATAGGAAATATATAACCCTGATTGATTTCTCTCATGCCATGTAAATATGGTAGAATTTGAAACAACTGAGGGAAGAAAGCAAACTGAGGAATTATATTTGAAATAGCTAAAACAGGTGCTTAACGTTTGTTGCCACTCGATTCACAGAGAGGAAAACGTTTGTCTTAATAACATAAAGGCTATAAAACCTCTCTGGTTCAGTCAAATCTGGTGAACATGTTGCGCTTAAGACAGATTGTTAAATGGTACAAAGTGCACTGCAGCGAAAAATATGTGTAGCAACAATGCTATGATCTGATGAGAAAATGGTGACACATCAAATGTGGTGAAGTCAGGTCGGGGCACAGCATCTGTGGTTAGGTTATCATTCTATCATCAGCTGTTGATTGCCAAGATTGACAGAATGGCTGCCATAGTTTCATTGACATAGATCCTGTCTAATTAAAAAGTTATCATCTTGAATGATGATACCAATGGAGACGTGACCTAATCACAAATGTATTTCACACACATACATTAAGTCAAAGTCAAGGCAGGCCACAGCGGAGGAAAATTCGTATGGTTATCAGTCTGTCATTAGCTGTTGATTGCCAAGTTTGACTGAATTCATTGCTAATAATTCTAGTCCTTTGTAATTAAAACTTCATTCCACGCAGGTAAAAGTGCTCCACCCAAAATAATAAAAATAAAAACTATATGAACATGATCGACTTGACACTGGTGGCTCCTGGCTCCGACACGGATAATTGGATTGGCTTGGTTAAGGTTAAACAAAACAAATGCAACTTTATGTCATTTTGAATAACCCTAGTATACTGTTGCATGGCCTGAAGCAGTACAGTATATTATTAGATCTACAGCAAATACTATTTGCAGTCAGTGAGAGTCAGTGTATCACCAAACTGTTCCAAACCATTACTGTTACAGAAACTTTTTTTTTAACTGATTGAAATAAATGTCAATCTGGCAGGATAAAGTTAAAACACTTTTTTTTGGGAGCGACCTACTATGTTGTATGTGTTCCTTATCAGATTGTTTAAAAAGACACTAAACACTGACTGCAAAGATTGAGGTGATGTTATTGTAATCTAGTGCATGCACATGTTTTGTTGAGACGCAATGACAAAGGAGAATGGAACCTGCCATCAGCCAGGTTTTTAACTGGGTGTGACCGTCAAATTCTTCCTTTTATGTGTAAGTTTGGAAAGTATGAAGAGCAAACACAATGATAAACTATGGAATCTTAGCTGAGGTTATAGTGCGAGGATTGTGTAACACTGCTGTTTTAGACATACATTGATCTATTGTCTATCACTGTGATTCAGTTATCCAATATCCCATTTACTGTAAAAGTCCTACCGTTTAAAACTTGTTTTTTATCTTAATTTCAAATTAAGTTAAGTAGAACTTTGGAATCAAGTATTGACCGGAAACTTTGAATTTCATAAGTAAAAAAAAAAGAGAAAAAAAAATATTCTATTTCAAAATGACTGCATACTTCATACTGATCAGTACAAACTTCATAGTAAAATGACAATTTATTATGCCATTAGCTAGAGACCTTTCACAGTGAAGGAAACTCAAGCAAGGTATGGTTCACAAAGTTATTGGTCCTAGCTTCAGTTGACTTAAAATTGTTTATCACAAGCGCAAATTATAGGTTGCCTCGCACATAGCAAAGTTTCAATATGAATACGTTCGTTTTGCTGGAAGGCAAACCGTTGAAGCTGCCAGAAATAATAAGTACTTTCTTGAAGTCTGTAATTTATCATTGCAAAGCTCGGAGTTGAATGGGAACACATTAATTACATAATATAGATACTGTAACCCCTTTACCATTTTTTTCATTTTTCTTAATGTGCGTGAGCATTTTCCTTGTATTGTATTAATGTCTTTTTAGTTTTATTTTGCTTTGAAAGTGTACAATAAAGAAAACACGCAAAATAATGGTTACTTACTTAAGAACATACATATCCTAAACACATAAACACGCACTGCATTCATACAACCAACTCCTGCATTTCCTGCTGCTCCGAGTGTAGAATCTGCCAAACCAATGAGTAAAACATTAAAGAAATATAATATATGAATGGGACTACTTTCTTTCCATGCTGTCTGTCCTGCAGGTCTCAGCTACACAAAGAAGTCAGATCAGTTTTGAGCTTTACCAAAACACTTTTGTTTAGTGAAGCACTGGCGACCTCGGCTGGATGGAATAAACAGTGTCCTACTTAGGTTGATCTCACACCGTCATATCAACTGCAATGTTTTCATCACACAGAAAGGTGTTGGACAATATGTATTATGTTCACATGACTTTCTGTCCCAAACGCCAGTATGGAAATTCAAACAAATAAAATATTTAGTTTCAGCTTTTGCCAGTCTTAGCAAGGTCTCCCTTGAAAAAGAGATTCACAACATAATGATACTTCTCAGGTTAAATAGATTCAAAATGTCACAGTAATGTTGAAATTAAACCATAAGATTTTGCAAATAAAGTATGATATAATCACTAGCGATCTAAAACGTGAACAGACTGCTTGCACACACTGTGCTGGATTGTTTTTTGAGGGTATGGTGCCCTCTAGAGTGGAGTTCTACATATAATTCACCTGCAGCCGATCGTACTGTATTTATTTCTGCGAGTGTAAATCAATTGGGATTAAGGTTATTAAATCTAAAAGTGATCAAATAACAATGGATGAATAAAGCAATATAATAAAGAGTGTGCCTTTTTTTCCAGGTGTACATTAGAGTTACCACTAAGTGTGTGCTTTGGAGTGTGGAGGGGATCGTGATTATGTAAGTTAAACCCTGAGGGAGATTCAGCAAACCGTCGAATGCCTTTACAGTTGAAAAGGAGAGTCATGAAGTTATCCAACAGAGGGACATTTTACTCAATTTCCCCCCCAAAAACCTATTTCCCCCAAGAATATTTATGTTTCAACAAGTATACAGTATGCATATACATTTTACCGATGATTTGAAGAAGAAACCAGAATGTAAATGTCCTATTTATTCATGTAAGAAAGAGAAGATCTCTTACAGCAACAAAAAATAAAAAAATAATGCACCAGAATTACTTTTACTAACCTTAATAATGAATATAGAGGAATTTCTTATTCCACGCACATTTTATTTGACTTGCCAAATCATATGCCAGAGGGACTAACACATCAAGTTTCAACTGAATATCATGCCGTTAGCCTCCAGGGCAGCAGAGGACAAGTTTCCAGATGTTGTCGCTTCATTCTCATACAGAGGAGAACGTTTGTCGTAATATCATGAAGGCAAAGTTTAAAATATAATCAATAAAATCAATCTGTAGAACATTTTGTGCTAAAGATACATTTTAATGGTGTAAAGTGCCGAAGAAATAAGCTAAAATACTAAATACCCGATTCCGAATGTATACTAAAGGAATTATCCAAATTGTACAGTAGCAACAAAAGTATGATAAGATGAGAAAATTGGTCCTACATACATTGTTGTAAAGTCAGGGCAGGGCAGAGCTGACATTTAAAAATGGTTATCTGTCTGTCAACAGCTGCTTGACTGAATACTTGACATTTTCATTGATTATAAATGGTAGACCATGTAATTAAAGGTATTTTATTCGTGAATGATTATACCCAGGATGATATAACCTATATTTATAGCACAAATGTATTTCACACACAAAAAGGCCCAGCTTTAAATCATGATAGTAACTTGCTACATTTAGACACATTGCATTAGCAAGTTAAAATACTCCATAAGGATGAAAACAATATTCAAAAAACCTGCTACAACCAGATTAGATAGCATTCACATAAGAGTATGCATGATGTTGATAGGCAGTAAGCAAGAACCTAGCCATGTTTGACTTTATTTAACATTCAGTTTGGATTCAGCTCTCTTTGCTTGTACAGCCTGTAGGGATTTGCCCTGGATGTTTAATGGTAGAATAGTGCTGCATGTGAAAATCAAAAGTTCACTCATATGTAATTATTCAAACTTCTTTCAGTCTCCATTATGCAATTTTCCTTCAGCTGCACCCACAGCTGTCACAGAGGGCAGATCCCTCTTACAGCTGCCTTTACATTTCCTTGTTTTCCCTTAAGTAAGCTCTTTTTCTTTTTTAGAAGTGTTTATATCATGGGCTTTGCCAACAGGTCTTTCGTGTCTAATAAGAGTAAATAAATACGAGAACCAATGTATTTTGAATTTGATATACCAAAACATTCATTACTTAGTTTGTTAATGACACTTAGACACTTTACTGCAGCATATGCCCAACTTTATTTTCTCAAAAGTGACAAACATTTCTTGCAAGCTAAAACTAATGCTGTGCCTGTTGCTGCAAAACAAATGTATATACTTAAAATTGACACAGTGTTTTTGTTATTACTCAGAATAATTGGTGTATAACAATATAAACAATGAGACTATTGTAAAAATGAAATTTGTAGTTATTGGTGAACTTCAATGTTTACTGTACCTAACATCCCAGGAATTTGAGTGACTGTGAAACCTAAAAAGGCAATCTTGTTAAACAAAAAGGTTTATTACTCATAACTCCCAACAAACCTTGCTGATGCCATTTCAAATGTATTGCCTTGTGGGCATTGAGGCTTGACACTTTTAGACTAACACACAAACACACACCAATAAACACATAAAACACACCCCCCTTGACATAATTCTGTCAAAAATGTTTCCTGTTGTTCTGCACCATAACAAATATTGGTGATGGCTGATGGTGATTATCAACAAAATACCTGTGAGCAATGTACACAATGGACTGACCTTTGACCTGGGTGCGGTGCCGTAGAGAGAAGATCTCTTGTTGTCTGAGGTGATGTTGTCAGACGTCGCTTCTCCATCCTCAACAGCACTGAGGGATACACAGTTAAACATTTGAAATTAGTCAATTCTATAACTGAAACCCACTTGTAATTATTACAGCTAAAATGGCCTTTTATAATCTTTTAAATAGCAGACAAAAATATGTAAATGTAAGCTTTTTAAGTGCCGTTTTGTCCAACATCTGACATTTTCTTGTTCTTTTTTTTATTACAGTATATGAACATTGGGAGACCTCTTTTGTAAAATGATTGTAGTGAGGTAGTATAGTGAGGACTACATACAGTCATTCTGTCTGACCAGCATAAGCAGTGGCTTAAAAAGACAGACAAATATGCTGCCTAGAAAGATAAAGCAGTGAATCATTGCTTAGGGAATGATGAATAGAAACTGACTAAGCAGAGAGGGAGTTTATGTTTCAGCCTTGCTTGGTAAGTATGACTTTTATAAAAAACAACATTCATCAGGATAAAATGAATTATTTAGTTGGGATAATTTCCATGTGCTCTATTCTGAAACATGTTTTTTTTTTTGTATTCTTTACTGACTCTTGGGGAGGTCAGTGAGGTGGCACGGATACGGCTCAATAAACGTGTCCCTTCACACAAGACCGCTCGACGCGCTGTAGTACATATGCCGAGCCTGTAAGTGGCGCTGTACTTCCGCCACAAAATACACCAAAAGCAGCGAAGAAGACCCCCGAGCATGGTTGCCATGGTTGCCTGGTTGCCCTTCTGTTTATTCTCGCAGTGGATTTAGCAACATGTAGTTCATGTAGTTCTCCATGTCCACTTGTTGCTGATGGTTGTGGTAGAGGAGCTGTAGATTTTTGCATTAACATCTGTAGCATGGTCAGTAGCAGTAGCTACTGTCAGTAGCAGTAGCTACTGACAGTAGCTACTGACCATGCTACAGCAGTGAGCAGCAATCATCGTATAGGACGTACACACGGAGCCGTTTGGCCCCCCAGAGCGTTCTGTCCGCAGATCTATCCACCTTGGGACCCGTTATCGTTTTAGGGGTCCGTTTCCGCGGTTCTGTTACGGCCTCGTGTGAACGAACGGGCTTTACGAAAGAGAAAAGTAGCGGATACAACCCTTTTCGTTCCCGTGTAAACAGCACATAAAGCAGCTTCAACAGTTCAGTGTTGACTCTCTTACTACGACAGGCTCACATGGACATAAATACATGCAACAAGACAAACACGTCACACACATGTTTTGTTTAAACAGCTACAAAATTGTGTGTATTTGTTTCTTCATCAGGCAGGTATTTGACAAGCAGAGTGTGAGGCAAGCCATTTAGGGGTCAGGAAAGATACCCAGAGATAAAAAGATGTGTCTTATCTTTGACCCAAGGTGTTTACATGTCAACTCAAGGGAACTATTTGAACTTGCAACACCAACACATGCTATTGTGAAAAATATAATCCTGATATGGACGAAGTTCAACAGGATGTTCTGTGCCTGTGCAGTATTGTGTGGGAATGCTTGTTTGCATAACAACCAGAATGATATAGAGAGAGGGAACTAAGGTGAGGCCTCCAGCAGTGAAACACAAACATTTGCATTTGTATCATCAAACTGGCACACACTTGCTACAGCCAAGCCAAGTTTTCTGTATGCACATAGACTGAAAAAGGCATCAACCGGCAATAATTCATTGTGGTAATTATTGTGTTTCAATTGGACGATGTCACGATGAAATTATTTAGCGCGATATGCAGATACACACATTTGTCTTCCATATTCGACAAACAAGCATATTCAATTTTAAATATGTATCTGGAGCAAGCAGCTTGTTAGCTTAGAGTCATCACTGGAACAGCTAGTCTGGCTCGGTCCAAAGGTGACAAAACCTGGTGCAAACTTGTTATCTCCAGCCAGGCCAAATGTTTCTACTGTTTCCAGTCTTTGTGCTAAGCAAAGCTAACCCACCTGCTAGCTTTAGCATCACATTTTCTGAGCAGACAAAACAGGCATCGTCAAATAACTCTTGGCAAAAACATAAACCCTGTTACAGTAGAAGGGAAAGTTACATCTGGAAAGGCAAGTTTACTTTTTTCTTTCATTACATTCCATTTAGCTGACGCTTTTATCCAAAGTGGAAAGAGGAGAGGAGAGATTGATAGAGTAGGAGGTTGTCAGGGTGTTTGGATTTCCACCATTTCTGCTCAGCTGCCCGAAGGATGGTTCTATTAGCACGCAGTGCGTCATTTAGCCAGGGAGCAGGAGGGGAGTGACGAGCCTGCCGAGATGGGAGAGGACAGAGAGATTCCAGAGAGGATGAAAGAGTAGAGAGGAGAGTTTCTGCAGCAGAGTTTGGAGGCAGAAGTTGGAACGAGTCAGAGGAAGGGAGGGCTGAGAGCACCGATGAGGTAAGAGTAGAGGGGGAGAGGGAACGAAGGTTACGGCGGACAGGTGCAGAATTAGAAGAGATTAGTTTGTTATGTTTGGAGTTGGTGGGGATGGAGACAGTGAGTAAGCAAAGGCGGTTAAAAGAAATGTTAATTCAGATATCTTCTCTGTCTGGAGGTTGAAGTCTCTGAGAAGTACAGTGGGAGGGCCAGTTTCAGTGATGTGTGAGAGGAGATTATCTAATTCCTCCAAGAAGTCTCCCAAGGCGCCTGGTGGACGGTAGAGAACCCAGTGAGTCTGGGTGTATGAGTGAAGGAATATGCTGTGGAGAGAGCTGGTGGGGTGGCTGTGTTGGATGGAGTAATCCAGGTCTCAGAGAGCAAGGAAATCCAGAGACTGCAGGGAAGCGTAGCGAGAAATGAAGTCAGCCTTAGGAACAGCTGACTGGCAGTTCCACAGGCCACCTGTAACTAGATGTTGGATCTCAGTGGAGCATGTGGGATAGACGAGAGCAGGCCGGTTATAACGATTAGGAGATGCACAGGGCCAGTAATAATTTCCTCTCCAGAGGCTCAACATTTGTGGGCATGGCTGTGCATGTTGGCAAATTTAAGCGAGTAAGAAATGCGCAACCGTGACCTAAAGGAGATGACAGACAGCTATGTACAGCATAGGTCATCATACTATGTGTTATAGTTACAGTCGATTTGGGAAAGTATGTCATGTCTGCTTAACCACACAATGAACCTTTAATTAGGCTTTGAATGCACTTTGATTAAAGGTTTTTAAGCGTCACATGTGCTACTATCGTCACACAACCAAACCACCCTGAAATGATGTAGTCATTTCATTGTTCATAGCACACAGCTATCACTTTCTGACGACTGATTAGCAATCATTTGCAGGCAATTTTAGGGGGTGGTGTCATTTGGAGTACATTTTTCCTATTTCACCAATAACAACAGACTGAATGGAACAGATACAGAACTAACTCGACAGCAGAATCTCTACTTTACTTGAAGCCCAACATAGATTTTTTTGACATGGCCATCTTTTATTTCACTGAATCCTGCTCTATGAATTCCTCCACTGCTATTTAAACTGGCCTGTCAATAATGGCCAAGCAAGAGATAAAACAAAGATAAATACCACCTGAGGTTGAATACAAGACAAATAGATGTAAAGTTCTAAAGAACTTATAAGAAATCGGACAAGCAGAAATGTCCTCGCCAAATATATCGCCCACTGTTAACTTTTTGCAGATATATTGGTATTAGTCAGTAACAAGATACCCCAATGGCAGCAATGACAGAAGAGACATTTCAAAATGTTACTAGAAACCATTTTGTAATGAGATTACACTTGCCGCAACGCCAAATCGGGCCAAAGGTTAAAGTGTGTGTGGGGGGATGGGGGTTCCTCAGCCCTGTTTCTGGTGCCCTCATTAGGTTCATACCCATATTCAAACTCAGGTTCATCTAAACTACTCATCTGTTTTCCGTATTGTTTTTTTGAAGCTTCCACAGTTGTGATGCTATTGTCTATTCCAAAGACAGTCAGAAATACAGACAGAAAATAACATTGTCAGGAAGTTTGTCAATTATAAAGCACTGACACATGCATGAGGATGATCATGTATTTATACAGGGAAGTGTTCAACAAACTCACTCTATATAAACACAACAGTTCATACTAAAAAAACAGGTTCCAGGTATGACTCATAATAACCTCTATTGTTTGGAATAAGGTCAGATGTTTTATCATCGCTGAGGTAAGACATGTAAGCTTTAACTGAGACTAAGATGTTGCCAAAGTATCCCTTGGCACAATGATGGTGTGTGTTATTTGTGTTGTGCTAAAATAGTAGTTTCACAACAAAGCAGTAGGCATGTGGAACGGCTGGTTTCTCTACAGGACTTATTTACTCTTAACTCCATTCGGGAAACCTGCATAACTTTAACAGGAAATAAAAATGTGGATGTGTTTGGCTTGTTTGAAAATGCAACTTGAGTTTTCCTGTCATTTCATAAAAGGGGAGGTCAAGTTTAAAAAATATCCAATACAACTTTGACATCCCCCTTGAACTGTACAAAATGCTTTATAGAGTCAAAACAAAAACAATACATATATTTCTTAGACCCTGAAATCCTCAAGTCTTGGTGGGATTAAACCCTGGATATGGATTAAAACTAAATCCTTAACTAACAACAAAAACAGATTTAGCATTTGTCTGGAATTAACACTGATCTAGGACAATCATCTACACTGTCAACAATTAAGGAATGCACTAAGACACTGCAAATCACTTGAAGAGAAAATAAAGCTCATTTCAAGAAGTGACTGTTATTAGGAATTGTTGTTGGTCACTTTAGTTTTTTTACTGATTGTGTTTGCTGTTAAACTTTACCCTTGCGTAACCCCTGTATGAAGCTCTTGTGTGCCAAGGCGGTTCTCGCAGGGTCAGCCCATCATTTTTTTTCTCCTTGTGCAAACACAAGCTGTCACTAAGTCTGATCTCCCACCACATGGACGACATGATTACATTGTCCTGTTTTATGACTTGAGGCTCAACCACGGCCTCACCTGTGTGTATCTTCACACCCCCTGCTTATTTATTGTGCGAGATTCAAACGGAGCGCTGTGTATCCTTTGGAAACATTTAACAACGCTACGGTAAAGTTGACAGACTTCAAAACTGACTTTTAAAACTGCAGTTTACAAGATGCATCCATCTCTCACCTCAGTCCTTTCTTGAACCCAACTACAAGAGGTGAAAATGCAATATCTCGCAGAGACATTGCGTAATATTCTACTGTCTTGTGTGGTGTCATGTTTTCATGTGTTACATATGACCAGGAAAAAAAGAAAGTAGCTCATTTGTGGTTTTGAAAGTAAAAAGATACCAAGGGTTTGTCCACTGATAGTAGCAGAGATGAACTAAAGCAGCTTGCTGGTTTAGACGGTTTGACCTAACTATCTGTCAATATTGGCTAATCACATATGTATTGGTAGTAATTCAGAAACCCTGATCCTTGTTTGAGGATCATACATTGAGCATTATGTTTGTCTACCTTGTAGAGGAGCCTGCATTGTTTGCAATTGAGCAGATGTTGTGACTATCTCTTTTTACAATCATTACTTTATTGCTCAGCTGTAAAAAAAAAAAAAAGGCCTGCAGCATCAACGCTTAAAAAGTCCATGACTAAGAGTACCTCAGGTCAAATTGAGGGAGCCTGACTTGCATCTTTTACACATTTGTTAGCAGATAACAGTATCGGACAGCGTCTTTAACATAAGTGGGTCTGCTCCAATTTTGCTTACAATAACTTTTCCAAAAGAATACATTAGAATATGCACACTGAGAAGTTAGAGCCAGAGGTTTTTAACTTAAAGATGAATGGAAAAGATTGTCAAAATACTGGCTGATTGGTATTCTGTTGCAGCTCTCAATAACAGATCAACAGTTTCAACTTAAAAAGAGGAACAGAGTTTTGCTTGTCCCCTAAAATGATATAATACAATAGTTAAAATAATGCAAGTTGAAAAGATTCACGCCTAATTTCTTTCATTTCATTTCAAACCTTTATTTATCCAGGTGTATCCCATTGAGATCATTGATCTCTTTTTCAAGGGAGACCTGCTCAAGTAGGTTCCACATGAAACATAAAAACATAAAACAACAGAACAATAAAAAGGACATCATACAGCATCATTACAGGGATTACAATTTACATAACTATCCACATGAACAGGTACCAACAGCATCCGATTGAGTAGCATCCAACAGAGCTTTAAAAACATTTAGTGGCACCAGATTGCTCAGTTTCCATTTCAATTGCAGACTATTCCAAGACAGAGGAGCTGCGCATCTAAAAGCTATCTTCCCTAAGTCAGTCCTAGCAGTTGGCACATTTAATAAAACCACAGCATGCGATCTCAGGCAGTAGCCACTTACAATTCGCCGTGAAATCAGGGAGCAGATGTAGGATGGAAGTTTCCCTAACATGGCTTTGTATATAAAAATGTACCAGTGACTGAGCCTCCGTACAGTTAGTGAAGGCAAACCTGCCTTGCATACAGGGTACAGTGATGGGTTAATACTTTACAGTTTGTCACAAATCTCAGTGCACTGTGATAGGCGGCATCTAACTTGATCAGGTAATGGGCAGGTGCATTCATATAGATCAGATCACCATAGTCCAGCACAGGTAAAAAGGTCACAGTGACTAGCCTTTTCCTGGCCTCAAGCGAGAAACAGGACTTGTTCCTGTAAAAGAAACCTAGTCTAACCCTCAGCTTTTTAAGCAGGTTTTTGACATGAAGTTTAAAAGTGAGACAATCATCAAGCCAGATACCAAGGTATTTGTAACAGGTAACCACTTCAAGTTTTATTCCTTGCGTAGTTACAATATCTAAAACAGGCTCTGGTGTCTTTTTAGCTTTTGAAAAGAGCATTACCTTGGTTTTATCAGCATTTAAAAGAAGCTTTAGTTCAGAGAGCCGAGTCTGAATAATGTTAAAAACAGCTTGCAATTCAACAACAGCCTCCTTAATGGAGGGACCTGCACAGTACATCACTGTATCGTCCGCATAAAAATGTAAAGTAGCTTCATCCACATTTTCCCCTAAACTATTGATGTAGATGGAAAATAAAAAAGGACCTAAAACAGAACCTTGTGGTACACCATTAGTAATGTTTAATCACTCAGAAGTGAGCCCATCAAACTGAACACATTGGGACCTTTCAGAGAGGTAGTTCACAAACCACCTGCCTAATAGGGCTTTTAATGCATTTTAGTTGTTCTAAGTCTGCCCATGAGCTGTTTTACAGTATGTTCCCTGAATGACTCTGCAAGCTCAGAGAACTAGAGGAGGTTTCATTTCTCCACATCTAATTTGCTCTTTTGCACAATTACATAATATCTGAAAGAATAGACTGCAACTTTATGAATTTCACAGTTCAACAGTCTTGTCTAGACAAAAATGTGCTTGGGGAAAATCTTAATCATTATTAACTCAATCATCTTCACAATCATGGTAATTCTAAGGAAATTGATTTGGCATGGTGGAGCTATCATTAACCTCATTAAATACTTTATTGCCCGATACATTTCAGCACTGACTTTAGGACCCCCTACTCTTTAATGAGATCAGAATTAAGCATGGCACTGATGTCTCATTCAACACAACTGTGTGGAAGTCTTAACCGAGAACTAAAGACCAACACTTCAAGATACACACAGTTGTTGCATTATTTTTTTAATCGTTTATTTGAACCGGGACAATGCACATTGATGAACATTTTAAACAAAATATTGTTTTCAAATGTAAATGAGCCGGATTTTAGCTTTGAGCTAATTTCCATCCGTAGTCCCGTCACATACAACATGTATGAACACGACAGTTATATACATGGCAAAAATAAATACATGATGTGCAGAAGATTAATTATTGGAGGTTAATGAAGACTACAATTTAGTGTGGGTTCATTTTAAGCTAAACCTTTGTATGTCTGAAACACGTTTAATATAAAAAGCAATTAACATTTGGAGCAAGTGTAGCCCTACAGGAGCACTGTAAGCTAACTGCAGATATATGTCTCCTTAAGCGTCAGACGCTACTTCATCTTGCTGCTATGAGAAAACATGACACAGGCACAGGCATGAAAACCAGGCAATGACAATTCAAGATGATTGTGCAACTAACCTGTGCAGCTGCTGGCTCTCATTAGCCGGCTTCACGGGGGCAGGGTCACTCTTCGGCTTTGTCTTGAACTTTAAGAACTTGAACCTCTTCTTCTCTCCCTCATTCTTGTGCTTGTCCACTGAATCTGTCAGGTTGGCTTCGCTCCTGGAGAACAAACTTTTCAGAGACTTTCTGGAGGAACTCTTCGCCATCTCTGCCGCTGTGCGTAAAGCCACCGAGGGTATTTGTCCTTACACAGAGTCACAACTACTTTTCCACTTATTGTCGGTTTATTAAAAGCTGATCTGCGAAGTGGGGAAAGTGCACGGATGGCACTTGTTGACAGATGACATGATATGCCGCTGCTGCCTCATTTTCTGTGCAGTATGCAGATATCAGGTGTGGCGACACGCCCCTTAGGAAAACACCCAACTACCAGACAGCCTGAGACTCCAGATGGTCCCCTACCATATAATGCAATAAAATAAAATAAATAAATAATGTATTTTTATTTAGCCTACTTTTAAATAAGTCAGGAAGTTATATTCTGCGTTTACAAGTTGCATTAAATAATTCCAAAGTTTGCACTTTTATTGGTAATAATAGTTTCACTTCCATTTATTTCAGGTGAGTTATGGGTTTCCACATCAAGAAGGGAAATAAGAACGCGGTTTAATAGGATTATCCCTGATAAAATTGGATTGTGTTATGTTTTATGAATATGGAAGAATAAAGTTTAAAATTGTAAAATGTCTATGTTTATCGGCTTCCTGTAGATTATAATAGCCTATATCCTGCAAGGAATTCGCTGGCAACACTTTCAAGGATACCATTTGAAAGCCTCAGAATAATATATATTACTTCTAACTATAGCCTTGTTTTTGAATAATAACAATCATGCCAATAATATAAAACATATTTAAATATGCATTATTTTATTTAAAATAGAATGTTACATTTAATCTAAACAAATTGTGTATCAACATGTATTGCAACACATTTTGAAACGTAAAAAATATGCAATAATGTTAAACGGTGTGGTACTACAATCACAGTGGATGAACAGGGACACCTTGTGGTCTCTGTGTGGTTTGCAGCCGGATTGCAGTCAGAAGAAAGGGCACAGGGTCATTCATGTACACACATGCATGTGGCCTACTCTGCCCCACGATGGCGCTACCATCCTGCTGAATCCAATAAAAAACGACAAGGTGGAGAATAATAGTAAAGGTAAACATCGGTTCAAGAATGTGCTACTTGTTTTTATGACTAGTCTAAACTGACAGATGCAATGAATGGTTCACAAAATAAAAGAATAAAATGCAACTTTTACCCCTCTCAGTGACATATGGGAATGACTTGCACAATATATACTTTGCACATAAATAAGGATTTATAGCTATATATGCACATATTGGGGGGAAAACCCACTCGAAAAATATGTGAAATTGTGAAATGTCATCATCTTGATAAGCACTTGTGAAAGTTGTATTGCTTCATTTTTACAGTAGCCCATTATGGCGTTATCATAAGGAGATAAGGAATGACTAAAACAAATGTTACATGATTTCATTTTTATAGGGATGGTAATTATAGTGAGTGTGCTGTGATTCCCCTGCAGCAGTGGCGGCGCCAGGGTATGGCTGGGGTAGGCTACAGCCATACCAAGAAATGGCTTAGCCCCACCTTAGCCCCACCATGAAAAGTGATGTTAAAGTAAGCAAATTCAATTAAATAATAAGCTAAATGCAAAATGTTGAGAACACGGATTGCGAAAATATACGGGTCGTGTCCACAACACACAAACTGATCCTGCTGTAACAACAAGTGCACGTTACTGATGCAATATGGTTGAGACCATTCGGGCTTATGCTAGAAGAGGGGTGCAAGGAATAGTCTAAGTAGTGGGGGAGTTTTATACACTAAAGGTGTGGAAATTCTCTGGCGTTATAATATCAGCGCGGCCGCGGTCAGATCAAAATGCCTCCGAATGCAATTTGAATAGACCTACAGCCAATCAGAGCAACGAAACGTTGGGTCTGCGTCATGCATTACTGATTGAGATCAATCGGAACCGCCATTCAGTATCCCTATTGGATCTTCAACGTGTACTATCATATGTCCGTTCACAGTGATCCCTTTTTATTTACTATAAGACAAATGTGCCGTTTTATTTCATACAGTTCCATTTTGATTGAGAAAGGGAAATAATCTAAACCTCACGTGTGGCATTTCACTGTTTCACGGGGTGCGATATAGCGTGTATGTAATTCAATTGCAAATACTGACTTGAGCACCACCACTGTATGGGTTAGCCCTACCATAGATTACCCAACAAAAATACCCTGGCGCCGCCACTGCCCTGCAGTAACCTTCAGGTTACAAGTTATGTGTTAATTTAAAGGGGACCTATCATGCAAAATGCACTTTTGTACGTCTTTTATACATGAATATGTGTCCCCGGTAGTGATGGGAATTATGGCTCTTTGAAGGGAGCCGGATCTTATGGCTCCGTTCCTTTCAAAGAGCCGTTCAAAAGAGCCGTTCAAAAGAGCCGTTTTTTGAAGGTTACTAGGTTTATTTGCAAAATAATCACCAGGATAATGATTGACTGTATTGCCAGACCTAATGTCAATAATCGGCATTGTAAACATGACACAAGGTGGCGCCATATCCATGTCATCATGTCAGTGAATGTACTTTGAATTTACCCTCTGTATGTGTTAAGTAAATAAAGTTGCCTTGCCTTGAATGAAATTCATGCAACTCTTAATATTAGATACTGTGTTTTTAAGTGGCGATGGAGATTATTTGTTGATCCTGCTTTAAAGGATATTTTGCCTTTACAAATGGTGCGCTTTATCACTGCCTGGGTTTTGGTTGAAGTGAATCCAAATGCTGCTGCGTTTTCGCGTTTGGCTCATTTTCCATCCGAAAAACACGTTGTCTACCTGTCCTATTCCACTTGGTATGACTTCTCTCTCTCGTGTATTCCGTTAACACCCACCCCATTTCACTCCTCGTGCTGAAACCATGGATGTATAATAAGAAGGCTGAAACCTACCAAACAGAGTAGGGGCGGATCTTCACAGAATACGTTTGGGGAACAAAATCAAGCTATTTAAAAGGCGAGTGGATTTTGGCAGGCAGTGAGTGCGGACCAACGATTGAACGATAACAAGAACGGCTCTCACCAAGTACGACTCGGTTCCCCTCGTTCGTACCAAAGAGCCGTTCAAAAGAATCGGCTCGTTCGCGACCGACACATCACTAGTCCCCGGTGTTCCAGGGAACTCACCAAGTGTCAGAAAACACAACCCTCTCTATTTTCCTCCATACCCAAATCTCTAAAAAAGGGGCTGCAACGGATCTGATAAAAACTGATCCAGATTTGAACACTGTCTTGACGTCAGGACAGTGGCGCTACGGCTATTGGGCCAACTCCACCAATCAGGAGGAGACAGCCACAGCCATTGCCGTTCGAAAGCGCTGGAGACGCTGTAGTACATATGCCAGGCCAGTAGATGGTGCTGTTCTCACAGAATCAGCCCTTGCAAAAACAGAGCTAACATTTTTCAAATTGAGCGAAATGAGGCATGGCTAAAATGCATGATCTGTTTGATATTTTGAAAAAAAAAAAGTATAAATATGCCTTATATAGGTATGGTCCTACACTAGATTTTTCAAATATAGCATGATAGGTCCACTTTAACATTGAAAAAAATGTAATTCGATTTTGCCATCAGAACATGAAATAAATCGTCCAACAATAATATTTGTTTTCTCTTTCACATTTCACGTACGAATATTGCTATATTCATACAGTATGTACATATTACTTACTTTACCATGTGTTAAAAATAATAAAAAAGACAGTATTCAAAATGGCAGACAGATTGTACACATGTAAAGTAAGGAGTACGTGCTAGATAAGGACAGTATCAGATGAAAATCGATTTCAAAAGACAGCCTAAAAATCTGGTAATAAAGCAGAACCCACCAAACAGTATCTAGCACACCAAACAGTAACTAATATCATTAAAAATACACATATTTGTGCAGTGATGGAAAGATATAATCTCTTAATCTGACTGTCTGTCAGCAAATAAAAAAAGGATTTTATAAAATATATTTTTTATAAAAGATGAAGCTGTATCTTCAAGGTCGTTATTGTGTCAGTTTAAGTTTTGTATGTTCCCATTTTACCAAACAAAATTAAAACTAATCTTTTCACCAAGGATAAATGATTTATATACAGTAAATGCATGAATTTAGGGCCCTGAGGCAGTTGCTTACTTTGCCTGGTTTGTAAAACAATTGTGTTTACATCCATCCAATAAAACAGCTTGAGATTCTTATTGAGCTGATGGATAAGATTTAAACTTACTAGTATTTTTTTTGTGTGACAGTAGGCAAACACAATATGTTTAACAGTGATCTATCTATTATAGGTTAGGTTTCACTGATTGACATCGTTTAATGGCCTCTTTACTAAAGTGAACTGACTAAATATGGTGATATAAATCAACATTTATTATCTTTTTATGTTAAACCTTTAGACCCATTTAACTGAAAACGTCAGTGTCACAGCCATGTGCTATTACTCAGTGCCACACTCCCATGTATATGGCCCTAACTGCTGACAAAAAAATGACTGCAACCGAAAGTCAAACACTGAGGTCAAACTGGAACTCATGATTATTATGGGATTAATTGCTTCCACCTATGATCTGTGTTGGAAAAACATATTTGTATCATGACTATCAGTAACTTCAAACTGAAAGTGAATATTCGCATCAGAACATTGTCTCTTTGTTTTGTGGCATTCTCAATGCCCATTCATCCACACAGAACACACACACACACACACACACACACACACACACACACACACACACACACACACACACACACACACACACACACACACACACACACACACACACACACACACACACACACACACACACACAAACCTGATGTGTGACATTATCCTCTTGCAGTCTTTCTGATGAAATTAAACAGAAAGTCACATGATGCTCATAGATCACAGCTGTTGGATGTAAGGTATTTGGTTATTATCCATAACATAGCAATTATCTTCCAAGTAAAAGGGCAAAGGCCAAAATGGTTGGCTACAGGCAAAAACACTGTTTCAATATCACCTGTTAATTCACTTAATTAAATTACTTTTATCACTCACATTACATACACAGGTTGACATACATGAACACATGCACAAACAGAACCACATGCAGGATGGGAAAGGGAGGGGAACCGGCGACACTTTGGTTTTAAGTCCACGCCCCTACAAGGCATGAACGCTACTTCATACAGAAAACATTCATGACAAATAAATATGAAATGGA